TACGCGAATGGAAGGTCTACCTCGAAGGCGCCGCCCACGAGGTACAGATCCTAACGGACCACAAGAATCTCATTTACTTTACGACTACCAAGGAACTGAACCGACGCCAGGTTCGATGGTATGAAACACTCTCTACTGTAAAACTTCGAATTTCTTATGTCAAGGGAACGGAAAATGCTCGAGCCGACGCTCTGAGCCGGAAACCAGAGTACCTCGCAAACAAAACCCATGAATCCCACACCGTGCTGCGGAAGGATGGCGATTCATTGGTTATCAACAACCGACAGCTGGCCGCGACAGGACAGTTGGTCGCAGAGAAAGTCTGGAAAGGCTACGCCAACGACCCGGTCGTAGCCGAACAGCGACGCCAACTGGGCGAAGGGTTCTCCTTCTCCCCAGAAGGAACTCTCTTGTTCCAGGGACGAATGTATATACCCACTCGGGATCGGGCCGAATTCGTCAAGGACTTCCACGGGCTGCCTGCCCATGGACACCAGGGATTAGCAAAGACGCTGTCTAGGCTATCCAGGGAATACTACTTCCCCGGGATGAGGAAGGTAGTCAAAGACGTGGTAGCGTCGTGCGACACATGCATCCGGAACAAGGCGTCACACCATGCTCCGTATGGGCTCATGAAGTCACCAACAACACCACCTCGCCCATGGAAATCAATCGCTTTGGATTTCGTGGTCGAGCTACCACCCTCGAAAGACCCAGTCACAGGAATCATATACGACTCGATCTGTGTGATAACGGATAGGTTCACAAGGTACGCGTACATGGTACCAGTACTTGGAACACAGGACGCGCCCATGATGGCGCAGGTATTCCTCAGAACAATCTTCGCAAGCCACGGAATACCAGATGAGATCATCTCAGACAGAGACAAGCTCTTCACCTCGAAGTTCTGGAAAACTCTCATCGCGCTCTTAGGAATGAAGCAGAAAATGTCAACCGCATTCCACCCTCAGACCGATGCACAGACAGAACGAATCAACCAGATAATGGAGACTTATCTTCGGTGTTATGTGAACTACAAGCAGGACGACTGGGTGCAACTACTCCCACTTGCCCAGTTTGCATATAACAGCGCGGATCAAGAGACCATTGGAGTATCGCCGTTCTACGCGAATTATGGGCACAATCCCACGGCATACAACCCACCAATAGCCGGTCAGGGTACCGCGCAAGAAGCCGTACTACAGGCAGGTGAGCTTAAACAGCTCCATGAAGAATTGTCAGCCGATATTCTCTTCATCGCGCAGAGATCTGCGATCTACTACAACAGAAAGCGTAGCATGGGACCAACGCTCAAGGAGGGGGATAAAGTCTACTTACTCAGAAAGAATATCGCAACCAAACGACCAAGTCACAAATTGGATCACAAGAAGCTAGGACCATTCAGGATTGCCAAAGTCAAGGGACCAGTCAATTATCAACTAGCTCTGCCAAAGACGATGAACATCCACCCGGTATTCCACATATCTCTCCTTGAACCAGCACCGCCAGGAGCACCGCCGGCTCCTGTCACCGAAATACAACCGATCAATCCGAACGCCGAATACGAAGTAGAGGCTGTTCTCGACTGTCAGTATTTCCATGGCAAAACAAAATATTTGATCAAATGGAAAGGGTACCCACAATCAGAAAACACTTGGGAACCCAAATCTAACCTCCACTGCCCTGGGCTTCTGCGGGAATTCCATCAAAGAAATCCAGGTTTGCCCAGAAGGAAGGGGACCCAAGGTCAGGGACCGGGCCCTCGAAAAAGGACGCTAGGTAGGCGTCAGGTTCGAAGGCAGGGAACCAAGAAGTAGGATCATCCTCGACGGGCTCAGAGGGAGGCGTCAGAAGGCGAGCCGGAGTCACGGTTTTTCCTATCTTGAACCGGCACACAGGTCGTTCAAGAGTGAACTTCTTGACATACCCCGAGGTGTTGCAATCGCAACGCTTTGAGCGAACACACTCGGAGCATCGTTTCGAAATAGACAAATCCAAGAAGCAGGTACGGGAAAGGCTGCGGCAGAAGGAACAAGGCTTTGCGAGTTGCGCAGCACGCTCGATACGGAGCGCGAGCTGGATACTCTGTTTTTTCTTTGTCTGGGCGACACTCGATTTCTTTGCGACACCAGACATGATGGATAAGGAAGATGGTCGTTGGCAACCATCGACGTTCCTCGAGGTCATACTTAAGCGTGGGGACCACGCTAGGCTAAGAGGGGGATAGTGTTACGAATCCCTTAGCGCTACGGTTGGCACCCAGATGCTGATAGTACCATCAGTGGTACTATGGGGGCATTGGTACCGACGAAGGAACAGTGCTATCAATAGGGTAGTACCGACCAGGGAATGATACAGGACAGCGAGTGGTACCGTTGTACACTCACGCTCGGTAGTAATGGTTACCTAGATCACGGTGGACGATAGGTCACGTGATGGATCCCTGGATCCCTGGATCCCTTTGTGGGGGAACGGATCCAAGGATCCAAGGATCCAGTATCTCAAGGGATCCAAGGAGAACGAAGGTTCTATATAAGACTGGCATGTCTGCCATTAGATAGGAGCTTCGTGCTCAACTTCAAATAGTATTCTGATACTTAGTAACTGTCTTCCCGTCTACGTGATACACCTACCTCTCGATCATCAGAGATCAACTGCAGCCTTCTGTATTTACAGCGAGTAAATACCGGACCGTTACATAAGGTAAGCTGATTATAATACTAATACTTAATATAAGTACTAAATATCGATACCCGGATAGTAATCCGAAGTAAATTAAAGTAAGTAGGCTAATAGGAGATAAGATAACATATAATATGATTTAATTAATACTAAAAAACTAGAGTATAGATAAGAAACCGAAATAAGTTGAAGTAAGTGAAATAGACGTAAGGCAGTAGCTAGTATCTACCTTAACACTTAAACTTATACGACTCTTATAAGCAACGACTTATCAAATAAAGAGTAATATAATATTACTTGCTATAATTATCTTACCCTATCAAGGGGTTAGTAGTAATATCTAGGCGTGTAGTTAAGAAATAACAGAGGCGTTTCTAGCTGAAAAGGCGTGAACGTATAAGTGCAAGAACACCTACTTAGCTATAACTTTATTAATTAATAAGCTATAATTAAAAGGATAATATAGGGCGACTCTATATACTTTTCTTATCCTTAGATATTAATTCGTATTATATAAGAATACGTAGTTAAGAAATCGTAAAGGTATTTCCAGCTAAAAAAAAGTAAGTGTAAAAGCATAGGAACACTTACCTAACTATAACTTTATTAACTAATAAGCTATAATTAAAAGAATAACGTAGGGCGACTCTATATACTTTTCTTATCCTCAGATATTAATTCGTATTATATAAGAATACGTAGTTAAGAAATCATAAAGGTGTTTCTAGCTGAAAAAAAGTAAGGGTCTATATTAAGTAACGCCTACTTAGACGTAACTTTATTAATTAATAAGATATTATAAAAAGAATAACAGGAGGTAATCAGGTATATCTTTCTAATCCTCAGAAGATATTCAGGTCTATATATAGAAGTGTTATTAGAAAATACTAGGGAGGTTTCCGGTTAGATTATTCTACTAAGTGTGAGTAAGAAATTAATACCTTAGTCTTAGTATATATACTTCACCCTTAAGGAAATCGATATAAGTAAAAATAAATATTTCATTGAATAGATAAATAGATTACCTACTATCTATAGTATACCCGAAGTTATTTAAATAGTTATATATTAAGTTATAGTAAAGTGACTAAAGAATTAAGGTTAGCTTAAAATCAATCTCTATATAAATCAGTACTATTTTCCCTTAGACGCTTCGTAGCGAGAAAACCTGCCCGGACCTACGCGTTACCTGATTAAGTAGTAGCACAGCGCTAAAGAGTAAGTTAAAGTAAATAAACTAATAAATAGTCTATACGTAGTAAGTGGAGGTAAATAGACTAATAGCGACAATAGGTCTGTGCGCACCTAGGCAGGCGGTTTTCAAGTAAGAAGTAGCTGTCTGAGATAATCGTCTACAAGGTTATAGCATAAGTCTGCATAGCCATTGAAGCCATCCACGTGACTCACCCTCGCTATTTTAACCGCCCATTCCCAAGCGCGCAAACAACAGCCAACCAAACCGCCTGCCCCTCCACCCATAAATAGACTTCCAAACATCCAGACATCCCACTGATATCACGACAGCGCGTAGTTACATGACCTGGCCTTCCAAATGAGACTCTGCAGAACCCGTTCCTGGGGGCAAAGGAACGGCCATGATGTCAGATGCAGACCTCGCCGGCGCAGCTTTGCTGATTATTGGTGCCCGAAATAGCCCCTTTGGAACTTCTTGGGGGTTAGGCCGGTAGCTCTGCAGAAAATGATGTTTTCACGGCGATACGATAATGCAGGCTGGTGATGGGAGGCTCACCCTCTAATACTCGAGGATGTATCCTAAGCGCGGGTTTGTGTCATATCCTTCTCCTCCAATCTCAAAGTTGTTTCCTTTCCCCATCATACTGTTTCCTTACTGTGCTGCATCGTGAATGAGGGGTTGTTTTGAATTTCCAGCGGTTTTCCAGGCCTTCCATTTGTCCTATCGTCTTTCCCATACCTCATCTTGCATCTCTCCTTTCCACATCTCTTCTCGTCTTCTTATTTCGAGGTCTTAGAATGGGCTGTTAGGTTCTGGGAATCTTCAGTATAGTTTTGTTGTAATTATGTTTGAGACGCTGGTCGCCTCTGACACTGTAATTTTTGGTTCTTCAAGGTCAGTTTCTTCTCCCTCCTCCCCTTTCCCATATGCCTTCAGACGTTCCATCATATATGGGGGCGGCTTGGTGGAACCGGATACCAGATGCAATGTCGAGATAGAAGGCTGTGTATTTCCTCCGCACATTTGTTTCCGAGTCTTCAAATACAGTGGAACCTGTCACCGTAGACGGAAAGGAAGCCGATATGCTAGTGGGGTATGCTGACGGTATCGTTCTGCAGCTCCGATGAGGATGGCATTATGCTGGCCAAGCCTAATCCTCCTGATATTCGGGTTCTCAATACACGCCAACGCCGCAGCTTCAAAGTCCAACTACATTCTCACACCTGAGCTGACGAATTTCATTCCGACATGCGCCCAAGAATGTTTCCTTTCGTTTCTAGATGGCAACTTTCCTCCTGGTACTTGTTCGACGAAGCCGACTCTAGATTGCCTATGCTCAACTAATAGCACATCTGGGTATACGATTGGGGAGGGAGCAGTACAGTGCATAATATCGGAGATCAATATTGGGTTCTGCCAGGGCAGTTCCGCGAAGGGTGATTGTTCTCAATACAACAGAGAATTATGGACTGCTGACTTAGTTGTAGATTCGGTTGTGAACGGCGCATATGGCATGTGCACAGGACAGAAAAGTGCACTGCCAAACACGCATGCGACGATCACTGCCACCCTTATTTTGCAGACTTCGATGCCAAGTATCGTCCTAGTGGCACCAGCACCAAGTATATCATCAGTTTCTGGTCAATCTTCTTCAGTCATTGCAAGCACCACTACAAATGCTTCATCAAGCCCACTCGCTACAGCCACAAGCCGACCAAGCCCAAGCAGTTCAGCGTCAAGTACAGTCTCTTCCGTTCCCGCAGCGTCCGAAACGGTTTCTCCAGAACCGATTCTCACGAAGAATCAAATTGTGGGAATCACAGTGGCTTCAATTGGAGGAGGCGTGGTTGCAGTTGGACTTCTCATTCTCTTCATTTGCTGCAGAAGAAGGAAGAAAAGAGCGCGTGAAAGTGACTTAATTCCATTTCAGTTGGAGCCAAATCATGTCATGAATCAGAAGAAGTACAAGTACAAGAGCTTCAAAGGCCCCACGGAGAGAAAACCAGGTGGGACAAAGAATGGCGTGGCAGCGAAGGTCCCCCCTCGCGTACCACCACGTTTGGACACTTCTAGTCCGAACATGTTCTCAAGGAGAAGTATCAGACCGGATACAATTGGACTTGCTATCTCACCCGAACAGGCAATATCTACAGAAAAGCAGCAGCGCCGCTCGTCTAAGCTGCTGCCGGAGAAGCCAATCCTGACGCTCAAAGTACCCAAACAAGCCGAAAAGCCCATCAATGGTCTCTCATTCAACCAACCAACTGTTCAGCCGTCGGCCATCAGCAGGCAGAGCACAGCTACGCAATTCGAAGAGGACTATGACGAGAGTGCAGATACAGCAGTTGCGGCTGATGATTCATGGACTGCGAAATCTACAGATCAGATCCTAGATGCAGGAACTGGAACATGGCAAACGATTCGACAAGTTGATCCTGAGGGAACTTGTAGCGAGGCGTATCACTGGCGACCTATGAACAACTTTGCCAGCCAGAGTATAAAGAATGGAATGTCAAATCCAGATTATTACGTCAGGCCGTTGAGTGTGACAGGCCGGAAAATTGGGAGTTTCTCACAGCCACGAGTACCGAATGCATATCCACGGCAACAAGATCAACAACTCTCTGTCCCACAACAAAGTCGCCCAATCACAACCTCATCGTCAGTCTATTCAGCTCGAGGCTCGGTCTCAAGCAACGACCAAGGCCGTAACAGTAATTCTCGACCCCACCGCTTCTCATACCAAAAAACAGGGCCATATGACAATCAAGACTCCGCAGTGTCTTCTCAAGACCGAGATCAGGATCCTAAAACAGCAGGAACAGATTACCCACTCTCCCCTGTGGTAGAATCTCCTGCCAGCGGACGAAGTCCAGTTAGCTATCCTAAGATTCCACCTCCAGGAGCTGGAGGTATGAGACGTCTCAGCCAAAGCACGATTCGTATGGTTCCTCCGCCACCGCAACCTGATTTCACAAAAGCTCTAGGAGCTGGTAAACCGTGGCGACAAGCCGAAATAGCTGCGCAAATCGAGCGTGAAAGAGCCGCTCGAGCACAGGCTCAAGAAAATGCCCAGAAACGAGAACAAGGACAAATGGGCATGCACAGTTTACATCGCCAAGAATCTCAACGTCCAAGAGAAGCCCGAGAGAACAATCAAACAACAACATCTCCCATATCCTTCGCCTTTCCCGCGCCTCCACCACAAGCTCTCATACCTGGACGTTCGCAAACGACATCTCCCCCAGCCATCCCATCCCCCTACCTCTTCCGCTCACCATCTCAATCGAAACTCGTTCCTCCGCCTCTCCTACGATCTCGGTCCCAGCTCCAGAGAGAAGCGAGGACGCCACCTCCAAGCCAGAACCAAGGCGGTTTCGTATCCCAGCAGGGCCAGTTGCAAACTGTGACTGAGTCTCCACCAACGACGAGAATGGCACCAACACCACCACCAGGATTGTTAAGCACGAGATCGCCATTGACGAGGGTAGGGAGGACGCCATCGCCGAACCTAAACCAAGGTCAATTGCAAAACCAGAGCCACACTAGGCCTCAACAACAAACCCAAACCCTCCAATCGGTAACGGACTCCCCAACTCAGCACTCAAGGACCAAACTCTCACCCCCACCTCTCCTCCGCTCACGCTCTCAACTCCAACGCGAAGCCCGCACCCTTCCCCCTCTCCAAACCCAACTCTCCCAACCAGCACATTCACAACCGCAATCAGCACATCCCCAATCCGCCACAACAACATCTTACCGCCCCTTCCCCGGCAACCCCAACCCCCTCTCCTCTCACCCCTCCATAACATTCACCCGCTCCTCCTCGCTTGTGTCCCAGAACTCCCTCCAAACCACCCTCTCCACATCCACATCCTCCTCTCTCCTCGCTAAACGCCGCGGCACAGAGAAAGCCTCTACACTTACGCTCAAGAATGAAGAAGATAGAAAGAAGCAGATTGCCAAGTGGAGGGTGCTGAAGAGAGAAGAGATTGAGTTGGCGAAGAAAGAGGGGTGGAGACCTATGCTTGGGAGAGAAGGTGGTGAGCCTGGGAATGGAGGAACTGGGAATGGAGGATGGCTGGGACCGAGGGAGTATGAGTTTGAGAGGACGGAGTTGCCTACTACGCCTGGGTGGGTGCCGAAGTTGACGCCTACGAGGAGGGGAGATGAGTTGTTTTTGAGTGTGCAGTGAGAGTGGGGGAGCAGGAGGAAGAGATATAGCGAACGAAAAATAACACAGAATACGGCACGACAAATGAGAAAGAGTAGGACAGAAACAGATAGGGGGGGTGCATACCTGGCGTTCACGGTTTCAATTTCTCCTTTCATATTTGATTTGGTTTGGCAAAGACTAGGTACCGGAAGAGTGCTGGACAGTTCAACGCATGGGAGGCGTTTACTGGGCGTTTGTTCATTTATACATTCATTTCAGCGGCTACTATTTCTTTTGGACTTATATACCTACTACGGGCGCGCTCTATTTTCTTTGTATGTAACAATATAGGATATTCAAGCGTAGCAGTAGCAGAGCATACTTTGTACGAGGTGGTTGTAACAGAGGGGAAGCAAGACCAGGAAAGGCAAAGAGAATGAAGAGGGGTCAAGTCATTAAAGAAAGCAAGTCATATTCACACAACGCATATTCTTCTATTGCAGAACATCTAAATTTAGCCGTAGACACCAACATCTTCATGATTGTCACGCCTGCCTGTCTACCTAGCTACCGAGCCGCACTTGAAGGATTCAGCCGCCAACTCAAACGAGCATGCTTCGCCTCGTCAGTGCATCGTGCCAGACCAACATGTGGGGAATGTGGTGGTAGCCTGCAGGATCTCGAAAGCATAAGAATGAATAACTTCCCACCTAGCTTGTATGGTATCCCTTGGAAGCAAGGAAAGATGCTGGAGTCTTGTGGAATTATGCGTAGAGTTCTAGTGTGCTATTTTTCTGGTCAACATACAAATATTCAGGTGTGGTACTCTCAACGACATGATTCGCAGGTGCTTTGCCATCATAAAGCACAATATTCGGTTCGTTCAAGTACTCTGACACTCAAGCAGTAGTTACCAGTCAGCGCATGACACATCATCAGATCAAAGCAGCGAATTCCTTCATTTGGGGCAGTGGAACAGACTCGCTCATTCCCGTGCCGGTGCCGGTCCCGACGCCCGCCGTTCATCCGATTGACGAACTATCATCTGCCATGCTTTCTCTAGCTCAGGATGGCTTGAATTTTCCTCAAGAACTAGAGAAGCTTGGCTCTTTTTTGGGGTGTTTGGATTGATTGATGTAAGTGCTGCGTACTCGACTCTTGGACAGCCTGGCAGGGACATCCGTTGTGTATCGCTGGGGGCGACTTCAAATCCTTGTGTTATGCCATACTGACTTGCGCGAGATGGATTGGAGGAGTCAGTGGTACGATATGACGAAATATTGTTCGAGTCGTGACCAGACTTTGGCAACAAAGAAGTTGGCAAGCTGGTAGACGGTCCAGAAACGCGACGCTTTTTGATTATTCCACCAAAAAGACGACGGGTAGCTGCAGGATCGTCCATGAATGTCTGTTTTCCATCAGAAGGGCTTTTGCCATCAAAAGAGAAGATTCTGCTTTCTGATCGCTTTGATGGACAACTTCGTTCTTCGGGTCCTTCAGGTGGGGTCTCCAGATCATTGTAGTCACTGAAGGAGAACAGGGTCATTCCATCATCAAAGTTTGGGACATTGGACACTGGTCGAGCCAGAATTGGGTGCAGGAATGCGTTCCTTGAAATGGTAACTTGGAGTGGACGAAAATGTTGGGTCTCAAGTCCTTGAGTTGGACAGGTATCTGATCGAATGGCTTCTAAACACCATGAGCTGCTTTCGAATCAAGGCTGGGGGAATCTTACCAAGAACATGAGAGGAAATTCTTGCATCTGGTTCCTGCTCAAACAATTTTGGATCTGGCCGATACCTATCACTCTGCTGGACACCTCTGCTCGTCGGGTTATCACCAGCAACATAACCGTTGGGAGCGCGACGATGGCTCAAAGAAGGTATTGCTCGTCTGATTGGTTCAGGTCTAAACCTATCGGTTTCTCGAACACCTCTTTTTCTTGGATTGTCACCTGGTGCATAATCATTGGAATTTGCGGGCCGATAGAAATCATCGGTAACAACATCATCTGTAGAGGAGTTAGCTGCTGACATTCGAGCTCAGGACGTCCTTACCAATGTAGCTGCACTCTTCAGCGTCACTGGAATGATTCGCGCTGTGGCGAAAGCTTTGGCTAGATTGAGCGCCTGCCAGCCATAATTGTTAACAAATTTCTAGACAACCTCGAGCCAGATATTCGGATGCAGTGGCCCGAGGCAGCTTCATATCGGCTACGGAGGAACGCCAGGCTTGCCTAGACTCACGGGAAGGTGAAAGATATGTTGAAGAACGGTCATTATGTGGGTGATCGCGCCGAGAATCTGATTGCCGGCGCAGCCGCTTTGTTCTCCTAGGAGACTCTGATCGAGCCTGGTGTCTGCGCAAAGATGGTTCAGAGGCGGATACTTCACGTCTCAATTCCTCGGTGGAAAGAGGAGGCCAAGGAGGGGAAGGGGCTTCAACGGATTCGATAAGAGAGCAGTGGCCGCGTTTGCATCGACGATGTGGGTGCTGGCTATCAGACTCCTGCTGGTGGGAGGAACGGTCACAGGGGGCCTGCTGACCTTGGGGTAAATGGCCTCGGCACCAAGGGACGGAGGAGGAATACTGGGAGGAGAAAGAAAGAGGAAAGTTCACCGACCGAGGCTGGGAGCTGCCTCCTTGTTCTGAGTCGCGTCCTCTGGCCACCCCGATGGGATGGTGGGGGCTCATTGTGTCTGCATCTAGCTGCGGTAAGCTTCACCAATTAGTATAATAATAGCACATATATTGACAACCAGTCGGTGTAGGGGGCCCGAAGATCGGTAGATCTCTGCAAGTTTGCAGATGATGCGGTCGATGAGAGGCAACTTGGATTACGTTGTTGTGTTGGTGTTGTGTTTTGAAGAGGAAAGAGATCACGACTGATGCCAACCTAACCCATTCGCACCTCAGTACTGGTCATCATTGGACACCTAAGCGAAAGCGGCTTACCCTAATTTAGGATGGCGCCTTTTGGGGGTCCGCTTCCATTTCCAACTCGGTGTGGCCATGTTTCTCGTTTCCCTCCATCATCGCTCCCTTCCATCACTCCACGTCCGTCTTGCTTACTTGGATCACACTTCCTCGTATCCACAACAGAGCCGCAATATCAATCTCATTATCAACATCAACATCAGCATCAACATCAACATTAGCTTCAGCGCCGCACCCAAGTCATCACATCACCATCGAGCTGGCAATCAGTGTTCCCAGCTTCCTGTCAGCATCGATTGACCGATACCGTCATCCATCTCAGCCGCACTGCGCTTGGTACTGATGGATCCACCACCCAGCTCGCCTGGCTATTGTGCATGCGGATTACTTAGTATTAGGCTGCGACATGTTAAGTGCAGCTAATCTGCATTCTAGCTGCAGGAATGTCTGCATGCTTTTCAGCCTTGCGAAGAAAGTTTCTTCTCCCATCAACCTCGATCCGTGGATAGCCTGCCAATCATCCGCCCCCATAGGCGTCTCGAGTACCTAGCCAATTGTGACTGCGGTGTCGGGACTCCAGAGTTTCTTGCCACTCCACTGGGAGATGAACCGGCAAGTTGGCTTTGTATTACTCGGGGTGGCACGGCAAGGGCCAAAGTGGACCCAAACTCCAGGACTAGATGTCCTAAAGCAGAGCTTGACATTGGTCAACCTTGCACTCGGTTTCTCGCACTCATAAGTCGAGAGTTCTGTGGTAACCCCTAGAGCCATCCTCTAGACCAGGCGGGGTGTAGTCATCCTAATCGCCTGATAGATGTAGATATCTGTGGGGTGACAGACAGGGCTACCAGATTCCTGTGTCAGCTACGTCCCCACTGTCCCCATCTCGCAGCCTGACTTTATTTCGACACCGCGATGTCATGTTTAGAGACCGCAATTACTCCAGAACAAGAGACCGAAGAAGTGGTCAGCTTCCACTTGGCTACTTGCTAGGTATTTCGCAAAGATAATTTGTTGTTGCGGACCATGCGCTTTTTCCAACAGTCATGCTTCTCCGCCATCTGCTCTTATGATTTGAAATATACCGCTAATGTGGCGGAGCGAATCAGATCTTCTATATTGCCTTCTGGTCATAGAGAACTTGGATGGAGCCTGGGAAATCCCCCTTCTGCCACCGAGTAGTCGGCATTCTGCTCGAGCCAAGCCATCCTATTGGTATTCAACTGCCTTTGGTAGTCACATGAGCGGTGATTGTGCGACGAATGAAACGTTCCCTTCATGTTCTGCTTTTCTGGCAATAATCTGGCTCGGTTGACAAGGGCCTGGAACAGGGGGAGAACAGTAATCTTCCAGGCTGTTATTGCATCAGTGTTCAAACTCAGGACTGGAATCATTTTGAGAAATGAAGTCTTACCGAGTTTGCGCTTCAAATAAAGCTAAATCTGCGGTCATGATGGTTTCGAGGACCGGTGTTCAGCTTACCAGCTATTGTAGTTGGGTTTTCTTTCTCAGACTCATTCCACACGTTCTTGGCTACCAGTTTGACGTATCATGGACACAGAACTTAAGGAGCCTCAAGGCAGTCATCGCTTTCTCCGCGTCCCTCGGTCCTTCCTCGCCCCGTTTGCGAAATCTTGTTCACAGGTGCTACCACTATGTCGACCTTTGTCAAGGGTCTTTCGACATACGATTCGCCACTTTATTTTCACCCCAGTGCTTTTCTATATCACATTACCTTCAAGGACGACCTGTTAAATATCTCCAAGCTCAGAGACTTTCCGCCGATCAAATGTCATTCGTTCAAGAAAGGAAAGACGGCACCTTCTTCATGCATCTTGAGATATTCTCCATTCAAAGAGTTCGGATTCCTTTGACTCACCGAATGACTGATTTGCCTGTACATACTTGAATTCCATTTGCTACTGACAACTGCGGATACATCTTCTGCCTGGTTTCAGATACAATACTGTACCAGGATTGTAAAATGGGATTTTGAATAAAAGAATCGGCTTAGACTCGTCAGTCAACCAGAATGGTGTCCAACAACGCAGAAAACATGATGAGAATTGCCATAGCCGGTGCTGGTGGACTCGCACGACTCTTTGCCCATTACATCCACGAGACTGCTCATCAGGTCGTCATCCTCTCCAGACAGGTAAGATCTGCCGGCGGTGGCTTGACACAAAGTGCTGACAATGTCTCAGCCACGTCCCGAACTCGAAGCTCTTGACTATACAGTTCTAGTCGTGAACTACGACAGCCAGGCGGAACTCCGTCATGCACTCAGAGGTATTGATCTGGTGATCTCTACGGTCTCTGGCAATCCTCAGATCAACCTCATGGATGCAGCTGCTCATGCCAATGTAACAAGATTCGTCCCAGCAGAATTCGAAGGACCACCATCACGGAGGCCGCGAAACGATCCTATGGACCGTGGTAGAGCAGCGTGTCTAGAAAGACTCCGACACTGGTCTCGTCATAACCGACACCCCATGCCATCGACGGTATTTGCATGTGGTGTTTTCTATGAACGATTCGCACGTGGAGGTCTTGGAAGTATGGATATTGGCGTTTCGTCAAATTGTTACTACCCAGGCTCCTACCTAATGAACATCGAACTTGGCACAGCAGAGATCGTCGAGACAACCACATCCGGGAACCCCATCTCGGTTGCCATGACGTCCATCAACGACGTGGCCATGTTCATTGTTGCTGCACTCGACCTGGGAATCGAAAACTGGCCAGGCGAGTTCAGGATGCAGGGAGACCGCAAGACTGTGACTGAAATAATACAGTATGCTGAGGCGGTGAAAGGAGGTGAGTGTTCCCCGGCTCACTACTTTTATCGATTCGTGCCAGGCTGACCTGCTTCAAGGAACTCCTTTCGAAACAGACGTCATCCAAGCCAGAGACTTGAATACCCATCTCGAACACGCATCCTACTACCAGGACTACTCGAAAGTAGCTCGGATACAAGAGCTTATCGCAACGGAGCAGCGACGCTACGACTTCACCCAGCCGAACCTTAACGCAGTTGTTAACTTCGTCCCGACGTCATTCTGGAACTGGCTGCACAATGTTTGGGGCATCTAGGGCCAATTCGTGACTTCTTCTAGCTCTCTCTCTCTCTCAAGTCTACACGAGATTCTTGCCCCTGTACCAGGCCCGCTATCTGAAGATAATGACCAGAGAATATGAGGGAATTAAACACAGGAGGAAGGTAATAGAAGATGATTTCTTGCTTGTCTTATTACATTGGTCTTCACAGAAAACGAGTTTACTTAGATTGAATTGGATCGCAAGATCATTAGCATCAGCGTATTAGCGATAGGTAGGCAGGTGGTCTTCAGGAATACATCTAGATTAGCGGAGCATCATCACTCATTGCAAATGCATTTACTATTTTTGATTTTAAGGCTTCATTGTGACCTATGTAGAACGTAATAGATATATTGAAGCTATGCAACAATGAGTAAGATTTTGACGATTGTCAGGTTTGAAAATACTAATGAAGTGAGTAGTCAGTGGCAAGCAAGTAGGATTGCTAGGTACCATGAAAGATCAAAAAAGGGGAACTCCAAAAGGAGGCGTACGATTGTAGATGCATTTACGTCCTCCTGTAAAAGATAGTGTAAGAACGCGTTATTGCCAGCATGTTCAAAAAGCCCTTGCATTCATCGATGGAATCATTGACATTTAGATGCTAAAAACTGGACAGGAGCTGTGAGGGAGGAGTGGCACGTGCCAAGTACATAAATATCCAGCACGTGATTTAGCGCTCATCTCAATGTAAACAAGCCGCCTTCCCTGCGGGATGGTCAAATCCAGGCATTTACGACGACAACCCTCGACCAGCGATCCAAGACCGCCAGAATTATCGCACGCCCTGCTGCAACGTCCCTGAGAATCGATACAATCAATTGACGCGAAATTGATTGCGGGAAACACGCGATACTCGTATCGTCGCGAACTCCGATTGACCTCCCTCCGACATCCCCTCACACGCAGATGCGCTGCCGAACCTGGAATCAATGACTACCGTTATACGAACGCGAAATCCTCTAGAAACTTTGAGTATGAACCAACAGCCATCGGGCAGACGGAGAAGCAAGCGGCTTGCTGGTGAGATGCCCCTGGGATTCGCTTTGCGCCGCTGGCGCTGGACGGGCCATGTAGCTAACAACCATTCCAGCATACGACGAGGAAGATGGAGATTTCGTGTTCACACGTGGATCGAAACGAACGAAGACTGCACCGGCGCAAGCAGAACCTGCACCCACACCGGCTCCGGCGGCGTCCTCGAAGAGGGGTAGGAAACCGAAGGAAGTGAAGGAACGCGACGATGAGACAACCGCGACCGCCAAGAAGCCTCGAGGGCGTAAGATGAGCTTTTCAACGCCAAGGGTGGAGAGCGATACTTTGATAGTGGCAAAGAAGAGGAAAACCACGCGTTCTTCCACAGGCAAGGCTCAGAATGGAGAGAGCAATGGCAATACGCCAAGGACCGACCCAGGGGATTACGATAGCGTTGAACTTCTTGGACAGACGGTCGATCAAACTGATGAATCGATCGTGGATCACAGCAAGCAGTCGACGGTGATTGCGCTACCTTTCAGCGATACGCCCATAATAAATCGCAACAAGGAATTGAGGAAGAAAGGAGGCAATGGTGGAGCGCGTAGGAGTAGTTTGGGGCTACGAGGGAGGAGGGCAAGTTCTTTGATAGACAGCGGACACAGCGCGATACCGCATCGCGAGGTCGAGACGTCTGAATTTTACAAGCATATCGAAGCAGAGGGATTGAGCGAGCCCAGGAGGATGAAGCAGCTGCTGACTTGGACCGGAGAGCGGTGTATGGGTGAGAAACCATCACATGGCGATCCGAATATCGGGGCAGTCCTAGCAGGTAGGCATTATTCCTTCGATTTTTCTGGGTTACACAGCTAACTGGAGCAGCCCGAATGATCCAGGAGTCCCTCCTGAAAGACTTCGCGAATAAATCCGAATTCTCTGACTGGTTTAATCGGGAAGAATCCGCGCCCACCAAGGTTGTCAAGACGCCAAATCCCAGAAATATTGAGCTAGAATCGAATTTGGTTGGTTTAGAAGAGCGGATAAAGCTGTATGTTGAATCCTTATAGATATTGTGCCAGTGGCGAGATGCTTACTTGAGACCTTAGATTACGAGAAGAACGAGACCAATGGAAAGCTTTCTCGAAACCGCCCCCAGTACTTCCTCCACTTCTGCCCGAAGATGCCCTGGAAATCGACGCCTCGCATATCGACTCTTCGCTACTTACACCAGAGCAAGCAGCCATATTTGCCGAAGTCACTTCAACATCCGCCTTAGAAGTCCGGAAACAAGCAGCTGAACGAGTACAATCCCTGCAGTCGGATCTGGAGTTCAATGTAGATCGATTTGCAGATGGTGTGCACAAATTAGAACAATATCAGCAGACTGTTGGGCGGGTGGCAGACAAAATACTAGCACTGAGTGCTGTAAGATTAGATCAGAGGGACCTGAGGGAAAAGGAAGAAATTGGCACACGAGATCTGCCCATGCAAGAAGTATTACGAAGTTTGAGTCGGATATTACCAGAAGGGAGCAAAGGACGATGATAATACATTCCAGGGCAGAAATTTTCAGGCATAGGGACTTCGGAGGAGTTGGTTTGGAGCATTGGGAATGGGATACCTAGGGCTCGGGCTGAATTTTGGAGATGCCTCAACGAGGGACGACTTTCATGCAAGCAATGGTGTTTGGGGGCGGGGCATTTCTGCTAGCACTCTTCTTTCGTACAGATTGTGGAAATACAATAAGTGTGGGGCTGCTGATTCGAGTTGAATCTATATGTCAATGGAATTACGCAAGAAGATGTTCAGTCCATGCTGCAAAATTGTTATGGTGTGTAGTGCTCACCAAGTTACAGGATAACGCTTTGTGAAGACACAATAAGCAATCATCAATGTCAAATTCTCGGCAAGGCTTCGAGAGCCTTTCTGGACAATTTCTCGCACCCGAAAGAAGAATCAAGAGATCACACCCCCATCAAAATCCCCAGATGCACCAGAAGCTTACGACAAGTTGAAACCGGAAATCTCATTTTCAGAAACCATCAAAATCCCACCCAAGCCCAGAACCCTTCCAGCTCTCACCCCAAGCTACAATATACACTCCTTGCGAAAACAATACCCATCAGCACCACAATCCGAATGCTTCTCACACGCTACAGCACAGCCCATCACTGTCAGCCTCATCTCTTATCTCCCTTTCCGCCCAATCATCGAAATTTCTTGATCAGACTTACGCAGTTTCGGCCCACCATCCCCCTCAGATAAAACCATCTCCAACTTCCGATTTTCACTCGGGATCTGAAAGTGTGAATCCTTCTTAGCGATGCATTTATTGTCTTTGCACATCATTCCTTTGGGACATTGCCAGCTGCCTAGACACTCTTTACACCGGCAAGAGATTTGTCAGTATGAGATTCTATCAGTAGCCAGTACTGGGTAATGAGACTGACCTGGCATCGGTGGAGGAGGAGGTGGCGGCGGGGGTGTGAAAGTTGCTGCATAGGCAGGGAGGACTTTGGATTTGTATTTTGGGCCGACCTCCGATGGCGATGGCAGGTCGATGATGATATTGAGATTTGGGTCTGGATTTGGGTTTGGGAGAGCAGCGGCGTGGAAGGCTGGTAGGAGGGTTGCTAGCACGCTGAGAAAGATGACGAAGTGCATTTTTCGTGATGTGAGTGAGTTATGCTTTTATTAAGCAGCTGTGATCGACGTTGGCATTTGGGAGATGGAATAAGAAAAGAAGAAAAATGACGCGTTTTTGTAATGGCGATGGAGGAGGTTTTGTATACTCTTTCGGGGGGTGGACAAACATGAAATTTGTGATCTGTTGTGTCGATCGCCATATCTGTCACACTTCCAAGTCGTACAAGTCCAGCTATTATAGTTTTTGCTTCTTCTTCCCAACAACATTGCGAGAGTGCTTTCAAGTTGCTGTTTCTGGGAGAATTCAAGCAGTCCTCGGCTTTGTTGCATCAATTTCACAAAAGACTGTTTGTGTTTATCGGTATAAATCGTTGGTTGAGGCTACAGATTCAACTCTTGACGGTGTTGCCAATGCAGGACGGGTGCGACCAGTTGTTACTCGAAAATATGTTCCACAAACGTACCTAATTTCGTATTAGGACTGATATGGAGCCATCGTATTATTAGGCCGCAGAGAAACTCTAGAGGCAGTTTGAATGTGTAATGCTCCAACGTTGTAATATATAGTTGAGTACCGGTTTATCTGATTTTCGAGTTCACAGCAATGCATGAAAGCTCGCCTATGTTTGTTGTCTTCCAAGATTTCAGGAGCTCGGTTATCAAATCTTCGCAAACTTTACCTGACTCGCCGAGTCTCCGAGCTTTATCATGACTTGAAGGGATTCCAGCCTTTCAGAACAGTCCAATTCTTTATGTTCCGGCGATCCTCTTGGGAAAAGAACCCGGCCTCTACTAAGACTCCGCTGTCGCCCGGCCAAGCCCCGTATTCCAAGACTCACTAAGGCGCTTAACCCCTTAGTTGTCAACTCTTTGGCTCCAGATGGATCTAGCTAAATTTAAGGCGAGTGCGCTATTACTATGTGCTTTGATACCATGGAACTTGCTTTTACGACGGATCTGAAGCTACTGTAGTACTGTCACTGCCGTCATTGGACTTTTCAAGCTCGTTCTCAAGTGCCAGAGAGTATATTGCTACGGTTATCAGGCTCCCAGACTCATCTTCTTCGCTTGGTGAAATTCCTTTCCTTCACTATCCTCAAGCAAGTGATCAAGACTCTTCACAAAGAGATACTCACACAATGAAGTTTTCTACAGTCATAACAGCCACCCTCTCCCTCGCCACCTCAGCCTTCTCATCCTCACTTCCCCTCCAGCCCCGCCAATCCACAACATGGCAATATACATATCAACCTAACTACGCCGCTCCATCTAATTTCAAGGCCTTCAACCTTGGAGGATGCGCCGCACAGCTCACTTTCACCAAAGACCGCTATGTGGGAGTGCAGTAGAACTTCGATGCTATATATGCAGATGGAAGTCGTGTCAAGCATGACCCGTACCTAGGCTTCAAAACTTTCGGTTTTAGTGACACGTTTTATCCCTTCTTGGGGAATAATTTCAATACTCGATTTCCGGGGAGTTCTGCTTTTACTGCTGTTCAGTAACTACGAGACCAATCTTCAAACTAGCTTTTCATTTACTTCAACCGCACGTACTAATCACCAAACAGTGAATTTACCAACGTCTGTAAAAATGGCGCCGCACCTGTGTCGTGGATTTTCTACACCAGCTCCGCAAACAGTGCCTGCTCATCAGCCTCCTATCGCTACACCGGTGGTCGAATCCCAGTATTCAGTAACGGCGCTGTTGTTACTCGACCTGCAAAGCCTGCAAGCTACTCTCTCCGCCGCATCAATGTCGCTGGTGATTTCGAAGTCAATTGGTCCGCGGTGTCAACTGCCGCGGCTTATTCGATTATTGTTCAGTACCCGACTGGCACTGATGAAGTTGGGAATCCCTATACCAATCAGAGAGGTGCGCGGGTTCAAGCTGTATGTGTCCATTCTCTCCAGGACTTTCTGTTTCCGGACTCTTCTCCTTTTGACTTTGAGCTGAATGCAATGCGGAGTTACGTTATTGATTGGCTGAGTCGTCGTAGCCGAATCTCACGACCATAATACCGACTGGCACACGTAGACAAGATCAACCACGAAGCTTGATCGTCCATGCCGTTGATTCTCGAGCTGTTTGGTCTTTCACTAATGACGCGAAGATCGTGCGCGCGAATTGGTAGAGACTATCTGAGCAGCAAAGACGGCGTGAATGTAGTGAGTTGAAGTTGAAGTCCAGAACTAGTCTACGAAGTATTTGGTCGCCAGTGTACTTAGAAGTTATCTATGATAGCTCGCTACTTCATCCGAAATTCGACAAACTGAGCCCCGCAAGTCGCATATAGGTATCTTTCCTCCATTCTTACATTTTCTCAATGCCTATTCAGTCTGTGGTCGTTCGCAATAACTGATTCAATATTCGGATACGAATGTATCAACAGAAGTATTTTTTGGGGGATTTTTCTGTGGTGGGCTCGTCTCTTAAAATTAGGCGATTTTCTGAAAGTGAGTGTTTACTTCTTAGCCGACCAGGAGAAGTGCGAAAATGAGAACTTAACTTCATTTACAGCGCCAAATATATAGATAAATCTCCCCAGTAACTCACACAACAACCATCCCCCCTCAATACGCACCCACCCTCTTCCTCCACCGCGGAGCATCAACACTCCTCGGCTCTTTCAACGCCGTCAAAACCGGCACCCCAGCCTCCAGCTCCAACTTACTCAACCTCGCTCCACCACTATTCCTCGCCCAGATCTCCACCGCAACCCAGTTCTCCCCATGATAATCCAGAATCCCCTGCGGCACAGGAAAGCTCAACTGCGGCCCAATATTATTGATATACTTCCCAAACTGCCACCCATTAACCCACAGCTGCGCCTGGAAATTCGCCGTTGTCTTGCCACCATCCATAGTCGTATTGCCGAAGTTGAATATAAGCGGTATGTCGTAGCCTGAAGGAAGATCAAGCTTGAATGAGGTGCTGTAGAATGCGATTCCTGCGGTTTTGGTTCCTGTTAGTGGACTGAGAGATGCCCAGTTTTGGCTCGGTGGTGATGGGAGGTGGTAGCCTTGGCGTTCGGCGAAGAGGCCACCTTCGTTGAGGGGGCCGCGCGCTTTGTCGAGATATTTCTCGCCGTTGAGGTTTCCGGTTAGCTTCCAGGTTATGGCGGTTTGGGAGTGGTCGGTGAGGGTGTAGTTCATTATGCCGCGGGGAGTTTTCATGTCGTCGGCGCCGACGTACCAGTTTTCGTTGAGACCGTTGTTGTCAATTACGGCGGTAATAATGTATTTGGTTCCGGCTTTGAGCTTGGGGAGGGTGTAGATGTCGGCGTGGATGATGGTTTTGTCGTTGCCTGTCCAAGAGCCTAAGTATGTGTTACCGAGCCAGACACTGCTTCCGTATGCGGCGCCACCTTGGGTAGTTAGGTTGAGTGTCGTCTCTTTGCCTAAATTAGACATGTTAGCAACAAGCTTCGTTGGGATTTGAAAATCGTAGTGTACCTGTTGCTGTAAAGTGACCTCTGTAAATGAGAGCTCCAGTGTTATACCCGTAGTCTGAAGCATACAAAGAAGTCGGCGTTGCAAGTGCAGTCGGATTGTTTGTTGTTTTGTGATCTGCCACAGTCCACTTTGAATCGTCGTACGAAGCTTGGATCTCTGGTAGGCTGTCTATGTATTTCCATTTAAGACTGGACAAATTGGGCAAATTGACTGCAGGTTTCTTGTACTCAAGACTTGACGTCCATTCTCCAGTCACTGTATCTGTCTTGAAACTTAATTTCTTGCCATTGAATGACAGCTGTGTTGCGGATTTTGGCACCCCGATCACTTTTAAGGGGGCAGTGGCATTTAGATCTCCAGTGATTTTTAATGCAGATCCATCGAGTGTAACTTCTCGGACCAAGTAGCCTGCTTCGATGATTACAGAGCTTGTCTTGTCGATAGTTGTAGTACTAATCGAACGTTAGCGTTGTAAATACAACAAGTGACGTCCCACTGAGTTTGTCCATTTCGCATCTATAGGAGGGATCTTACTAGGAGCCCCAGCTGTCGCTTCTCTTGAAGTCCGGTACCCAGTAATTGTATGCAGTATTTCGATCAAGGATGTAAACGAATACGCTTCCGACTTGTACCACGCGACGAGTGCTTGACGTTTTCCAACCCAAAATAGTCATGCTATTGTTGGTCTTGGCGGTTATCCCAGACCCCTCAGTCGTTTTCGCCACAGAGGCGGAGATAAGGGCAAGTTCGTGCTGTTCGCCAGTACCACCATAGACAACCAGGAATGCCTTCGTACCAGTTTGCTTCCAAGTGAATATTTCTGCTGTCGAATAAAGCACGGTAGTATTGCCGATTGAGTAGTCTGTCACAAGCCATTTTGCATCACGGCCAGGGAGAGTCAGAGTGCCACCAAGCTGAGGAATAGAAACTTCGCCTTTGCTCGTTGGGGCCCTGAAAGTGAAGGAAATTGGAGTGTCCTGCGTTTCGTCTGTAGCTCTTACCAGATAAAAGTTGGTTATCGTCCCGTTGCCGTACAAGGGGTTGACAGTGATCGAAGGAGTGCTTGCAAAAGAGTTTGTAGGGGATCCAACAGACGTTGTCAAGATGGCTGGAGAAACTCTCAAGAAGTTTCCAATAAGCTTGGCTTCGCTGTACTTCTCCCGGTCAACTTCTCGATTCTCGGAGATCGCAGCTCCGTAGTCATAGGATGTGTAGACTCCTGAAAACCCCAAGTTACCCCAATTGGTTCCTCCGTACGTCATATATATGTTGAGCAGTGTAGTGCCTTAGAAATAGTTAGGATGCGTTATGAAAACATTGTTGGGAATAGTTACCTTGAGCAAGTGCGTACTTGAAAAATACGCGTTCGTACTCCATGTTGAGCAGCGCTGCACATTTATCAAACCCATTACCACCCCAAGCATCAAAAGCCCCCCCTTGGAACTCGACAATTGACATGAAAGTTGACGGAGATACACCTTGGTGGTCAACGTAGTAAGTCTGCGGCAAGGAGGTGTTTGGCCAGACATGCGGATTAGCACAGTCGAATCCAAGTGGATAGGAGTCAAAACTAGAATCATGTTAGTAAAACTCTCTCGACAAGTTGAACAAATGATGTACCCATAGATATCTACATCTCCAAGAGTAGATCCATTTGCGTCTGGTCCAGGGGCAAGATGCCCAGCGGCGGCCCATGCATCGTTGCTGATGAATGGAACCACAATACCTGCATCTCGGTATTGCTGCTCCAGATGATCAGCATAGACAGGATCTGGGAACGGATCAAGGCCTCCAGAATATTCGTTTTCTGGCTGGAGTAAGATGACCGGACCGCCGTTTGTAATCTGATACTTAGCAATTGTCTTGCCGATCGAAGAGATGTAATTATCTGTGGCAGCAAGGTAACTTGGTGCTCTGGTCCGCAAAGCCCCTTTGATGCGTTGCAACCATCCTGGAAAACCACCACCACTTGTTTCGGCATTGATGTACTAGACACCGTCAACAAGATCAGTCGACAGCAATTTCAAGGTGGATTCTTACGGGGCCTGGTCGTGCAATAAGGTATATTCCGACTTTGGCCGCAGCCTCGAGGAGTGGCTCTATCGCAAAGGCGCCGTCCGCCCGATATGCTCCTTGTTCCCCTTCTAGCAGCGCCCCTAAAGCGATGAGAACCACATCTGTTAAGGCAGAATTCGCAACCTACAGTCTGTATAGAACGATACAGCACTGAAACCAGCCGCTTTAATTTTCTGGAGAATATCGAGCCATAGATCTGGCACAGGCAGTCGAAAAGCATGAAATTCACCACTGTAGATGAAGATCCGTTCGCCTCGAACCATCAATGAGTGCTCATCATACGTTACCTTGAATCCCGTCAGCAAGATCGTAGTTTTTAAATAGCCATGTGGACTCGAATTGACAAGGGCGTATCACTTACCAGGTTCTGCAATCTATCACTATCCTTCTTGACCACAATATTCTTGCCACCAACAGAGAAGGCAGCACTGTGAAGCGCAAGGCCAGCTAAGAAAAGAGACTGTAAAACTTTCATGACGAGATCATTGAAAGGAAATTACATGTAAACGACAAAAGAGACAGGAAATAGCTCTACTTATAGCGAGAGACATAGGGGATCATCTCTTGGTCCGTCGGGCCGACCCCAGAAGACCGACAAACTCGAAGAATTGAGTTCGAACATCGCCATACAGACCTTGCATGGTACATGGTACATTGCTAGTTCACGTACAAGATAGGCCCTCATGGAGAAACTCTCAGTCTTGGATAGCGAGTAAAACTGGCGGGGGATGGACGCGGGGTAGACCCCTCCAGGTCGGAATACATGTCCTGGATAAAAGCCCTTCCCGCCGCTAGGTGAGAAGCGGGCAAGCCACAGATACAGATCTTCAAGGGAATAGAAAGAAAAGCTTCAGAAGAGAGGTTTGCGGTAGTATCTCCTCTCGACTTCTCGATTGTATGTCGAATGCGGGGTTCGCTGGGTCTGTGAATTCAGCCGGGAAGAGCAACGGAAAAACAACTTTCCACGAGAACTTGCAGAGGTACCACCTACCTGGTCCTACACAATTCGGGCCGCTGTTCCTTTATGCGACGCATGATTGCCAATGGCAACTTTACAAGCGACTATTATTCGCAACACACAAAATCAGTACAAGTCATTCAGCCAAGCTCATGTTGCTTGCTCATTGAAGTTTGGCGGTAGGAAGTTTAGGCTTGGGTGCGGTTGCTTGTTTTTTTTGACAGCGGAAGGCAAAACGATTCTCCGACCTTAAGCGATTAGTCAGCTACAGCTGTTCCCATAACTAGTTAGAAACCACGGCTGCGCGCCCGCCCTCATCAAAAATCGTTTCCCCCCCCTCTCTAGAAACCTACCTACTTGCATCTCCACGAAACGCGATTATAAAACGCTATAACTTTATAGAAATAAACTAGAACACTAATAAACTAACTTATAAGTTTCCTAGTTTTAATTGAATATCTAGTTATAAAGTTATTAATTGAATAAGCTGCACAGGATTTGAGGCTTAAAAGTCCAGAGGTAACCCGAGGTTAGCCTGAGGTGGCCCGAGCGCAAGGCAAGCTGAGAAAACTAAAAGTCCTAGTTCTAAGGAAATCAAATTAAGTCTATTAATATAATACTATATTAAAAAACAACATATAGAAGTGATTTAATATATGTTAATCTTTGATTCTTTAAGAAATCTAAGTGTTATATTAAAAGGTGGTTGTGATGTAGGTAGGTAGGACTCAGAGAGCGGGGGGGGGAAGATTTGGATGAGGGTGGAAAATCGGTCCCGTGGTTTCTAACTAGTTATGGGAACAGCTGTAGTCAGCATTGGGGCGCGATGTGACTTTCCTTTCCTTCCCCTCACTTTCACGATTGACTTTAGATCCCCCATTCCACAAGTTTTCCCTATGTCCTTCGTCCACCGTATCAGATAACATCTCGTATCTTGTCTGCGCCGCAATTAATCTGGCCTCTTTTCATGATGGATATCTTTTCCAGCCACAGGAGTCCGTGCTTGGCCCGTACCGGGATCAGAAACTTGGAAGTTGGCAAGAATTGATCGTCAAACGCGGGATGGATGGCTGGATGCAGCCGCAAATCTGCGAAATGACATAGTGCGGCGCGTTCTGGGGGAAAACAGGGTCACGTCCCAGCATTGGGCTAGTCGACACTGGACTCTTCTGTTAACAATACGACCCTAATGATAACCTTGTCTTGTCCATCTTATCTTTTTGAACTAGTTTGATCAATTGACTCTATTCTAGCTCGACGAAGTTGAAAGTTGTTATGTTTGCTAGCAACTGATTTGATCCACGCCTCTCCAGTCTCGAACTGTTACTTTAGCTTCGTGCCTTGCCCTTTTCAATTCGAGCTCCATGGATCAGTCGTCTGCGGAAGTATCTGCAATTGAACGCTCATCAACTAATTCGCAATGTCACAACCAGGATCACAACCACCGCACCCCCCACAGCAACCAACAGCAGAGAATCCAGTAGTAGCAGCAGCACAGAGAGTCAAGTCGGCTTTCACCTCACATCAGAAACCCAGTGTTCGAATTGTACGCGACAATTCCAACGGTGGTCCAAGACGTGAACCCGTCGCCCAAAATGTTACAGAGAAACCACTACCTCCTCCACCAGGAGAACCAACATTTTCGAGTCGACTTGCGGGAGCTAGGAGCAGGATATTTGGACACAGTGGGGAACATGTTCAGGAAAAACCTTTACAGAACGACTACTATGATCAGGATAGGGTTGATCTGATGGACGTGTGTGGTGAGTTGCATAACAACTATAGAATAGCTATGGCAAATACTGATCATTGGCAGACCCTGAAGTAGCAACACTCTCGACCCTTACAAATGTCCAAAATTCGCTCTTCATTCCTTCCCTGGGAAAACTCGTCAATCGTCGAGCAACATATAAGATTTCGGAGACGCCAGAGGAAGCTCGGAAATATGACAAACTCAAAGCTTTACTGAAGAAGATACCATTACGCCGTTCCAAGTCAACACAAGACACCTTCCAGTACGCGGTTCTACCAAATGATGAGAAGCTCGAGGGATGGTCAAAAGAAGATAAAGCCGAGATGGATGATATGGTCAGGCATCAACTTCATTCCAAACGAGCGAAATTCAAGCGGTCGATGAAGGGTTTCAAGCAGTATGTTCGAAGACGTAAGTTCCCCCACCGTCTAAGATCAGTCACAATTCTGATCATGTGTCTGTAGCCATGGGACTATTCATCACCATCTATGCTACCCTCGTAACGCTGTTTGGCGCAGCCTGGGTGTTCTTCCTCATCGGCTGGATCTCCTTAGGATCAAAGAAAGATACGGTTGTCGAAGCCGTCGATCTAGTCCTCGTCGCTCTTTTCGCAATCATTGGAGATGGACTTGCACCATTCAGAGCAGTAGACACGTACCATATGATCTACATCGCTCACTATCACCGCGTTTCCTGGAAGAGACGCCAAAAGCTCGGTCTACCCGAACTAGTGGACCATAATGATCTGCCAGACCAGAGAAGAGAGGATGTGCAAGACCTCCAAGTCGATATTGAGAGTCTAGTTGCTCGCCGGATGCCCAACAGTATAGCGAAACGAGTAGCGCCAAAGATACCCAAGAAGTACGCAGAGAAGATGGTTGTCCGCCATCGAGCCCACGATCCAACATTCGAATACTCGGTCTTGGATGAAGATGAGCAGGCCAAGCTCGACCACCACGAACGCAAATTTTCCAAAAGTCACACCTTTTACAAACCCCACGAGACAGAAACCCATTACGCATTCCCACTCAAACTCCTCGTCACCGTGGTCGTGCTCCTTGATCTCCACTCCTGCCTCCAAATCAGTCTGGGCGCCTGCACCTGGGGCATACCCCACGATAAACGCCCCTTCGCACTCACAACCGTCATCCTCTGCTGCAGTCTCACAGCCAACATCACAGCCGGAATTCTCATCTCTAAGGGCGACAAAAAAACCCGCAAAACAGAAGTCATTGAGCGACTCATGCGCCAGGAACTTACCGCCGACGCAATTGAGCAGATTCAACGTCGCCAACTCAAAGAAGCCGAAGAGCGTGGAGAAATCGACCCCGCTATCCGAAAACGCCTAGAGAAAGAAAAGGAAGACGCGGAGAATGAGGAGATCAAGAAGAGCTGGAAGAGTGTGCCGAGCCTACCGAAAACGCTACTCGGCAAAGGAGTGGATCATAGACAGCCTTCCTTACCACAGCATCAGAGGAGGGCGGCCTCGAATGCTGGGGTGGTGTCTGGAAGCTTGAGTTCATCTGGAGGCAAGAAGTCGAAGTCTGGGAGTGGATTATTGGGAATCAAAGAAGATACGACTACGAAGCCGGTTGCGCCGATACCAGCTCCGAAGCAGGGCGAGGATCCATTGAAACCCAGCAGAGGGCATAAAGCGTTGGAGTTCTTTAGGAAGGCGGATTTGGATAGAAGCTAGTGGGACTTACAGCACACTATTGGCCATAGCCTTTTGAATATAATTACAGACACTCTTCTTGGGATGCATTATTTGTTTCCCATCCTAGCATTTTTATGGGAAACCTCAATACGTGTGACTGCTGTTTGGGTATCTCTCCTCGAATTGGAGAATTGGCATGATCCTGGACCAGGATCAGGTAAAGCCTCCAGGTGACAAGAACAAGAAGCAAGCTAATTGTCTTGCGGCCACCAGCGCTATGGACCTCTTACTCTCATCTTGCTATCACGTGCCAGAAATGTTGACATGGTGTGCTCAGGTAGCTGAGATTTGTACAGCCAAAAAAGCTGTAACCCGACATAGTGACTTTTAGTAAATTTACAACCAAACACGCTAAACACGTCGTTATACCAAAATCAATCTCCTTGCCAAATTTTAATTGTAGAGGCTTCCGGAGCTCCTCTATTGATACTCTCGTTTCCCGCTGTCAGTCCTCAACCATCTAGTGTCTGAGCCCACAAGCGAGAGCCCCCAGATCTACAATGACATCAAGCTCAACCCCGTCTCAAGATTCTCAACTCACTCAATCCTCAAGTTTCATTCCATTTGCTTTTGAAGAAGACATATACACGACATCCATCTCATCGTTTCTTTACATATCTCCCACCAATGCCACAATATATCATTGACCAACAAACATTATGAACCCCAGCCTTGTACCCCGCATCTCAACGCGGGGCATCCTCCACGTCCACTCTTTCAGCTTCAAGCCCACCTCCACCCATCGACCCTTCCAGCTCCAGCCACTTTTCCACCAGATCGTAAAACTCAGCACATCCTCTATTCTACTCGAAGTAAAGAACTCCAATCTGTCACCCAAGGAAGGACAAGGTCAAAAACCTATAGCTGAAGCAGCTCCAGGCGAGAATGCTTCGGCAAATCCAAATCCAAAGCTGAAGACAGAAAATGAGGGGGCAGCTGGGAATGGAAGTGGAAGGGAAAAGGAGAGTGGTAGAGGGACAGGGTCGTCGGTGATCTTCTGGATAGGAGGGTTTGCGGTGATATATGGGGCTTGGAGGTTAGAAAGGAGGTTCTGGAGGGGAGAGGCGCAGCCGAGGCTTGGTGTTTGAGGGATGAAAGGAATGATCTGATTCAATCAATGTGGCTTGCTCTATGGGCATGATACATACATGATCTATCAAGGCGTGAAAGTTAATCACCCATCGGGTGCCTATAATCAAAAAGTATATTCAGTGTGAGCCGTCATGTCATGGGAGACCTCAGACTAAATGTGGCATAGGGCTGACCCTAGGCGGTGCAGAGGCTGATACCTATGCCTATGGTAGACCATGGAAACTGTGGGCCAGGAAAGCAGATTCAGAAAACCTGTGATCTCTTTTGAAAGAAAGAACTTACGATCTACCTGGCTTCGGAGGTAACCAGACGCCGCGGACTTGGCAGAAAGTACATCGCTCTCAGGAATGGATAGAAAAGTAATCACTACCCAACCAGTTGCTCGAACAGCATCTCGACTTGCTGTAAGGATCTGAAGAGTGAGTTTCTGTAACTGCTGTAGGTACTAGACATGAAATGGACCATTACTGTACTACCTAACTAGTCCTTGACGCGCATTCGGCTATATATTGGAACATCCTCAGCCTCAATCATGTCCTTGTCCAGCATGATTATTTCTCTGCTTAGCTAGATGCCTGCTTTTTTCGAACTGTAAAAGCCTTTTGCAAAGAATGATTTGTCTGGAGTGTACCGTTAGCCTCGGTCGGTTGGTCACCAAGGCTTCCCCGCACGCTAAGTCAATAAAAGAACCAAGTGCGAGTCCCAACTCGTACTTTCTCACCTAGCTTGTCACCCATGCAGTCAGCTTCTTTGACTACAAGTATCTGACGATCATCCCATTTGGAAACTTTAAACTCTTACAGAAATTACAATTCATACGCATTAAGTCACCAACCTCAAGCATTTCAACATGGCAATCGATCTTCAGGAGAAGTACCGCCAGGAACGAGAGGCTCGTCTCAATGACAAGGGACTTGCTCAGTACTTGGATACATCTAGAACAAAAGATTACATTTCCCATGAAGATCCTTGGGTTGAGGCCGGGACTCCAGTAAATGTCCCCGTACCAGACGGAGGACACGTCAAGATTGTGATATTTGGTGCTGGATTCGGTGGCTTGTGTGCTGCTGCACGAGCTCTTACTGAAGGGAGTGCAAGCAGCCCAAATGATTTACTCATCGTTGATCGTGCTGGAGGATTTGGAGGAACATGGTGGCATAATCGGTAAGTTTATACAATCACGGGACGAATATCTTATAGCAAGTCTAACCAAAACTCAGATATCCAGGCTTGATGTGCGACATCGAGTCGTATGTGTATCTTCCTCTCCTCGAGGAGGTTGGATACATGCCCAAGCACAAGTATTCCAGCGGTGAGGAGATCAGACAGTACTCTGAGGCCCTCGCCCGCCATTTTGGTTTCTATGACCGCGGTATGTTTCAGAGCGCCGGCAAGTCTCTCACGTGGGATGATCAAGCCAAGGTCTGGAGATGCGTGGTCGTTGCAAAGCCAAAAGGGCAGCCAGAATTCGAAGTGAAGTTCACAGCTGATTATGCTGTTCTCTGCTCTGGTGGACTTACTGAGCCTAAAATCCCCGATCTTCCTGGATTAGATACGTTCCAGGGCAAGATGCTTCATACTGGACGCTGGAATTACGACATCACGGGTGGATCTCCTGCCAACCCTGAACTAAGCAAACTTCAAGGGAAGAAAGTAGCGATCATCGGAACTGGCGCAACAGGAATCCAAGCCGTTCCCGCAACAGCCAAATACGCTGGAGAGCTCTACGTATTCCAGCGAACTCCGTCAGCAGTGGACACTCGCGGAAACCGCGCCACAGACCCTCAAGAATGGAAGACGAAGATTGCCACAAATAAAGGATGGCAGACCGCTCGAGCAAACAATTTCCAGGCTTTCACGGAAGGAAAAGATAATTTGCCAGAGGAAGACATGGTAAAAGATGGGTGGACGGATATGCCTACTATTTCTGGAGCTTGGGGGAATTCGTCGGAGGTTAAGCCAGAGGGTTTGGAAGCTCATCTTGCGATGATGCATGAGTTAGATGCTGAGCGATCTAATCGAGTGAGGCAGCGAGCACTTGATCTTGTGAAAGATCAGGAAACTGCTAAAGTAAGTTCAACTTCGCAATCCTCAACCGTGACTTGACCGAGTTTCGATCAGGCCCTCCAAGCGTGGTACCCAGGCTGGTGCAAACGCCCAACCTACCACGACGAGTACCTCCAGGCCTTCAACCAGCCCAACGTCCATCTCGTCGACACCGCACCCCACGGAGTAACAGCCTTGACTCCTACTGGCATCTCCCATAACGGCAAAGAATACCCCATCGATATCCTCATCTGGTCCACCGGCTATGGCAACCCCCTGAATCAATCCCTCGCCGGCAAAGCCGACATGGCTGTCCTCGGCAAGAATGGACTCGATATGGAAACTCAGTTCAAGACCGGCCAACTGTTCACCCTCCACGGCCTCATTGCCATCAACTTCCCCAACCTCTTCGTAACAGGCTTTTCTCAAGCCGGTGTAGGCGTCAACCAAACCCAACGCCTAGACGAGCAGAGTCTCCACATTGCATACACGATTCGTCAAGCGGAGAAGAAGTTGGCTGGTAGATCTAGCAGTGGTAGAGGTAGTGGTAATAAAGCTGTTGTCGAGCCGAGTGAGGAGGCGTGTGAGGAGTGGGCGGGGAGGACGGCGAGTAAGGCGCATATGCTTGGTGCGATGGCGGGGTGTACGCCTAGTTATTTCAATGCGGAGGGGGAGGTGGATAAGATGACTGATGAGCAGAGGATGGGGGCGGCGAAGTTGACGATTTGGGGACAGGGGTATTTGGCTTATGCGAGGATTCTGAAGGAGTGGAGGGATAAGGGGGCGTTGGAGGGGTTGGTTGTTGAGGGTTGAGGGTGTCTTAGATGGAGACGGGTTTTAGATGGCTCATTTCGGCGAGTGGTGGGATCATTGCTGGTCTAAATATGAGTGGATTTTTTGTTAAACTTGCTACTCTTATCACATTGCTTAACATATTCACTTCCAAATTGCTACTACCGCCGCCATATGGCTGGTCTGATATAAAACCCAAACCACGTTGCAGAATTTAATAGTAACCAAATCACAGGATATCGTGGTAGAACAGCCCACTGAGCTAGATACTCAAGTTGCAGTTCCCAGTCTCCCACTCAATTGTCCAGTCTCACAGGTCTCCTATCCATGTTCGCCTCCCTCAAGCCCTACCACAAAACACGTCCCATAACTCCGAAGCGAGACCTACAACCTTGCTGAATATCAGACCTTACACCGTCAACCACCTTGCCACTACCAACTCCAAGTTTTCTTGCAAGCCCTGCCGGAGGTCAGCGGGGTCGTTTGGCTCTGGTGGTGCTGCTAGCCGAGCAAGAACGTAAACAAACAAAACCCTACCTTTCCGGGCGGCGGCGGTGGTGGTGGTGCCATTTCCTCGTCGTACTTCGACGAAGAACTGCGCTTTCCCATAGGTACCTTTTCTGCTCTTTGAAATTTTGGTGTTCTTGTTTTGGGCGTTTATATACGAATTGAGGATGTGAGATCTTGGTAGGGTGGGGTGAATGTGAATGAGGCTGTGGTTGCTGAGGTCGGGATTGATTCATTCGGTCACTGACTCAAACGGACGTTTTTCTGAGGTCGTGACGTTCAGATGTGTAGCTATACAGTTTTGATTCTTATATAATGTGTACTTCGCAGTAACAAGTCGCAAGTTAAACGGATGTGGCGCTTGTTATTGCTGCGATCGTATGGTGTTCCCCAGGTGCTGACTTAGGTCCGTAATGATAGCTCTCACAGTTATGAGAAATAGATTATAGAATATAGCAGAGGGGCTTTCTAGAGTCTCGGTACTTGAAGCCCCCGAAATTGAACGAGCCAGGAGAAGTGTGATATCCTGGTGTGCTGTTGTCAAGCACAACTTTTCTGTCGATTTTACACACCCCAACTGTAATGAGACTCCAATCTTGATATATCTGTGTCATTAAACTACCAGTAATCATCACGTCAAATCATGTCTGGTGACAATTCGACACTCATCAGGATCAGAGTGGAATAGCTGACGGAAAATCTCTGTACTTTTCGATGCAGGTCGCTTGCACCGACCAAATCTTAAGCGGTGTGCAACCATATCTCCGCGTCTTTGAGAGTGTAGTTTCAGGCCGGGAGACGCCTTCCATTATTTATAGCTCAAACATCTTAAATTTCGACTTATACGCACTTCAGCTTCGCAAAATTGAAGAATATTCACCATATGATTGGTTTCACGTCGAGGTGGATGGATTGAATGGTTGAGCAGCAAATATGTCATCCTCGTGACATACCGAATAATGGGAACTAGTTCGATACACAGGACAGAGACATAAATATATCACTCAATGTTACGAGGTATCAGACCAGTCTCCCAACGATGCCTGGAAAGTTCCAATGGTGACGCGAGATTCAATGTCTTCCCTTAACTCCAAGCTCCAGAATCCAGGTCGTGAAGGTTCACCCTTCAATCTCGCTATCTATACACCAAAGTATCAGTGAACTAATTGATGAATGTGAATTTGTTTAAAATTGGATCGACACACGGTTGTCACATTCTCTGCTGCTGTCAAATGTTGCATTGGATCTCGTCTCTGTCCACGCAATACGTGTCTTATGATCAGTTCCATCCCATGATGTCGATGAGCAAATCTTTATGTTACATTTTCGGGAAATTTGAAGGTGCAGTAAATGAAGCTCCCTCCACTGAACGTGGGTTGCCGAATAGGGTCGTCCGAATGCTTGTGGCGCCAGAATTTGTTGCTAGAGTACACTATAAATGGCATGACCCAATTGATCCTCTCAAACCCGTGGTAGTAGCAAGAAGATGTTGTGGTTCTTGATGTCGTGTACCATAGGATATGTGCAAGTGGAATTATATGTAGCCGCTATGGTCGCCATGTGCTACATTTTGAAGGCAAGAAGCGGCTGCAATATTTCTTGATGGTGCATATTGATCAATCTGAATACACGAGGATATTCATTCACTGATCTTTGAGAAGAGAATGATATCAAGTTTATGTCCTAAGACTATAAATATGTCAGGAATCTCTAAGTGGGGAGGCTTTAACTGAGAAGGAAGATGAGGCTTTTGAAAATAACATCGCAGCAGACAGCCGCTGCCAAGCTCCACCAGCCTGGAATAACGAGCAAGTTTGACGCTTGCCATTTTGACGGTACCGGATTCGCGGAGGAGTATTTAATTTAATTTCTTGGAGCCTGGTCCAATATCTCAATACTGAAGCTCAACCCCTTAATCAGAACAAGGGGTATCCAACTGTCAAATGTCGACACACCGTCAAAACTCCTAAACACCACCATCTGCTGTCTTTCATTATATCTCCACGACCACTTCTATTGCAATCACAGTCTACAGAAACAAGTTGTATGCCGCACCGTAATACTCACTATTCTCAAAGATCTAGACACACTCTCCTACAAATGCTCTAGCGCAGACGACGAAGCTAGTGTCAGGATTAGAGGCATCGTCCCTCCAACCTTTGTTCTGTCGTGTCTTCTCTCCAGCCAGGTCAGTTGTCAGTGTATTGACATCTTTGAGTCGATGAGGAGAAAGGCATTTATACTTCATCTGCCATAAAAGCTGCACTGTCTTGATTACCCATTGTATTGGAGGATGAAAAATAGGTTGGAGTAGTTGAGTTCTGGCATTCACTCATCCCATGGTATCCATCTCCAAATCTACATGCTCACAGCCACCCAGTCACGCCACCAAAGTCCACGTCTGTATTCAAGAAAGACTTGGGCGAAAATTTATAAATCACATTTGTATCTCACTCGATCACCTCTCTTTTGTACCTAAGGGTTCAATGTTTCGTCTAAGTATAAATACACCTTCATCTTCAGTCAAGCTGGTCCAACGCACTGGTCCTACCATTAATCCTTGGCCGATATGGAGGTAGCTAGCAACAGAATCTTCCTCGTCTTTCCTTGTACTTCATGCAGTGGCTTTTCTTTACGGTAAATTGTCCGATGTCAAATGTACAGATGTATGTCACAGGATGCTGAAATTGCCAGGTTGATGTGAATTTGTGAAGTGATATTTCAAGAGAGCACTGTCAACCTTGGCACTACTGTCGATGGTCAAAAAATCGTCGTCCTACCTTCTTCCATAACATAAATTTGAAACATAAATTAAAAAATTCCACAAAAGGTGCTCAAGCATAACGGATCCAAAACACAAGAATTTACAAGAGTTCTAATGCTCGTTACCCGCCCGTGACGTGCAACAGGACCAGGAAAACAAGGCATATTTTGGAGAAAACGTCTCAACTCAAGTTACGGTGGAAGCATTGTGTTGTGTGATTGATTCAATTCTCCCATGGTATGAAATTTGGGCATTATATACTCTTCAGCGAAGCACCAGGCTGTAGGGTTGAAGCTTAATACTCTGTTTGGGATATTAATACTCTGTTTGGGATATTCACTCCACCTCGCAATCACCCAAGACATTTGATTTATTGCCAGAAACTCTACGACCACACATCGCATGCATACATATAAGTCCCTCCCTTCCTACAAGCAAACACCGTATCGTCAACAACTCATACCGCATACTGGACTACTTGTCTGAGAGCCACGAGAGCTGCATATCGTTTGGACGCGAGCTAGAAGTGTAATGTGCTTAATTCGAAATTCTGTGTACACAAAGAAACTGTAAGGTCAACCAACCCCATTGATTATCACCGCCGTTGAGCTTATTCTTGTTGTCATCTCCAACCAAACAAGCGAGTCCCAAGTATCAACCATCAACCATCAACCATCAACCATCAACACACCTCACTGTCACTCTCACTATCCCTCTCACCCTCACACACCATACCATTCATCCCAATCCCAAATCCAATTCTCAACACACACACACACCAAAAAAAAATCCAAGCTTCAGAAGAACTCAACCAACATCAAGCGACGCGACAAGATCAAATCAATCCTCTTCACCACCCCTCAGTATTCTCAGTATTCTCAGTATTCTCAGTATTCTCAGTATTCTCAGTATTCTCAATCAGTATCTCACCCCAAAAACACACATATACACTCCTTCCTCTCTTACTACCCCCCCCTTCCCCCTTCCCCCTTCCCCCAACACCGAGAGCAAGACAAGACAAGCAAGCAAACGAGCTGTGAGAAGAAGAAGAAGAAGAAGAAGAAGAAGATAGCAACACCACCACCTCGATTCCTCGAAGACCACGTACGGTGTTCCAATGGTGAGCCTTGCCGAAAAAAAAAAATTGGAATGGGAATGGGGTGTGTAATAGGGGAGGGAGGGAGGGAGGGAGGGAGGAAGCGCGAAAAGAAAAGAAAAGAAAGGGAGGGGAGGGAGGGAGGGGAGGGTTCTTATAATCTTACATACCCCAGGGTGTCTTGTCTTCAGTGCTGGTTGGTTGGTTGGCTGGATAGCGTGTATGATAACGTGCATGCATACATGCTGCCAACCTGAATGAATGAGTACCGTAAAGAGAAAAAAAAGACAGTAAGTAAGTAAGTAAGTAAGTAAGCGGTGAATACTATATTAAGTTTTAAGTTTAAAGTTTTGAGTTTTTAGTTTTGAGATTTGAGTTTGGGCTTCCACTTCCTCCTCAGTTTTTTCTTCTTGACATGCACAGGACAGGGGGGGGGGGGGGGGGGGGGGTTGTTGGGGACTCAATTCACAAGACTGATATCGAATACCCCCTCCGCACGCTGAAAGTAAAAAAAAAATGTACGAGAATGAATGGTATATATAGTGTGATATGATGTGATATATTTCATTGCATGTAATTCATCACCATCAACCTCGATCAAAGCTACATATATACATACATATACTGCAGTCGATGATGACTGACTGACTGACTGACGGCAATGAATGCATGCTTGCATGCATACATATATGCATGTCTTGCCAGACACTAAATAGATTATCACAATTAGATCTCTGTATAGACATTTACAGACCGTAGCCTTGTTTGTATTCTCTTCTCTTCTCTTCTCTTCTCTTGGGCAGTGATATCTTCGCTACCCTTCCATCAATTTACCGGCCGCGTGACTGCGGCCTCCCTTTGTTCCTTTGTTCCTTTGTTCCTTGGAGATGTCCTGTTTCTCCTCAAAGGCCATGTACCTAAACTAAGCCATTCCCCAAGTCCCAACCTGACTTGACTTGACCGCCCAAGACGCCCATCTATGATGTGATATGATATGCCTTCCTTCTCAAACCGAATTTTTGGATATCCCGCCCCCATCGACCTATACCTAGACCTATACCTATACCAGTACTCCAAATCCAACCCAGCAGCTGCTAACTCATACACCGACCGACCAACCAAAACACCATCAACTCATCCAACCACTCTATCAACCTTCCTTCTCCTCATCCTGGGCACACTCCTAACCTTCGTCCTCGGTAAGGTCGAACCTCCATTCCAAGTCCCATTCGAATAGGTATAAGCATCCCTCGCGCCCATACACTCGACGCTCTTCCTCCACCTTACAACATTGTACTTTCTAATCCCCGAGGGTGCACTCGCCCTCCTGAGACTCATCTCCTCCTCGAATGCCAAGATCCCATATGGGTCATCCATCTCGGCAAATCCCTCGTCCTCATCGGGGCTTATGGCTCGATCTGCAAAATCAATCGTTGTGACTGGTGTTTGCGAATCGATTGCCAGTTCGGCGTCGAGCTCTACTTTGCTAGAGGGGATGAGCCCGCTGGGTGGTGGGGGCGGCTGTGTTGTCTGTGCCTGTGACTGGCTGGAGAGTAAAGGTCGCGAGGGCGCCTTGTGCAGCCGGCATTGGGTGTTGGTTGCGAGTAGGTCTTCGACGAGGGTGGAAATGTCTTTGATGTGAGTGGTGCAGGATTGGAGTTGGACGTTGAGTTGGCGTTGGAGACGCCGGCAGGCTACAGTGTTGGTGTTGGTGCTGGATCGGGGATGTGGCAAATTTGGGAGGGAGGATGTTGAGGTGATGGAGGAGGATGAGGATGGGAGGGTTGCTGTCCCCCGGGTCGTAGACACGTATGTCATTTCGTCTGGTGTGAAGTCATCGTCGATTGATATGTCGCTGGAGAAGTCTGGACTCGGCAGTGAGTCGTTCCATATCGAGCGGTGGGGTGCCTCGTCTGGTATTAATGTCTGCTGGGAGAACCTGTCGACGATATCGTTCATAGGTCCTTTTGGCCCTGTTAAAGGGAAGTAAGATGTTGGAGCCGGAGACGTGACTGGGAAAGAACAGTCTGTCGGCGAGGCAGATATATCTTCTGGGTCCAGGTATCTGGTTTGCGCCTGGGCGCCAAAAGTAAAGTGTTCGAACATCGTGAAGTGATGTAGATGGACTCGATGTCGTTGGCCAACAGTCCGGAAAGATCCAGCTGGGAATCAGATCGGGGTTGCCAGCGATTATGAGTCCATTCGCAGGTATGCACGAAACGCCGTGGCTGAATCCAGAGCTGAGGAGGTGACGCTCAACTGGTAGCGTAGATTCCCAGGTTTCGATTTCCTTGCTCCCTCGTGTCTACGCTCGGATGGCGTCGAGCGTGTGTATGTTTGTGTATCTGCAACGTATATGCACGGATAGCCGTTGTATTTTCCTTTGTCTGCTGGGTGGTGACTTTGGTGTTCGAGTCTCGCGATTCTTGGTGGTGAGAGTTGTTGAGTGGAGGCGAGAGAGGAGAAGTAGTATGGCAGAAGAGCGAGGCGAGAGCACGGCAACGCAACGCAACGCAACGCAGCAATCAGTTGACGGCCCAGGATTGAGGATGGCGGGTCCACCAACCACAATCCACTGGTAGCGAGACCCAGACAAACGGCAGGGTCAGTATGGGTCAGTATGGGTCAGGATGGGTCCGCTAGCAGGCCACCAGCACCTTGGTATGCCTCTAGACTCGATCAGAGGAATATCCGAGGCAGAATGCAGTGTGTGGCTGCATCCAGGCACGCCCATAGGCCAGTCGGAGGAGGAATTCGTTCCACCAGGGCGACCACGGACCAGGCTCGCAGCAGGGGGCAGGCCAGGTAGGGTATGGCAGATGAGATGGACGGGGCACGCAACAGCAATTGGGAGAGACCTGTGGCGGTCATAGCTCGTACTTCCCTGCATATTTCAGGCGGAGCGGTACTTGGGCGTGGGCGTGGGTGGAGGAGAGTTTGGAGATGATGCCATGCCTGCTGTTTGTTTCTGAGCGGTGCGGCCGCAGGAGAACGAACAGTGGATGAACTGAGAGATCCAAGCTCCAGGCGCCGTTCGAGACATGGGACGCCGACGCCCTATCAGTGGGCACGCGAGGCACGCTCGCACGATAGCCAGAACCGAGAACCAGTAAATCCACGATGGGACCTACACGATTCAGGGTCAGCGACTCATTTAATTTCCATCTGTCAAGAAACAAGAGTCGAGAGAGTCTTGGTGGTGGACGACCCTTGCTCAGGTTCGCTTACATCCCGCTCTGCTCTGCTCTGCTCCCTGTAAAGATGCATCGCATCGGCTTTGCCTTCTGCTCTCGCCACACAGCCATCCACATCCACATCCACATCCACATCCAGCCTTACGCCGGCCAGAATAATGCATAGCACTTGCACTTGCCAGCACCGAAGCTCTGGTCCTGGGAATCGTTGGATGCAAGAGCCGTACCAACTACTGCATCAATCAGCTCGAAGTGTCATGATGATCTCAGACCCGAGTTTGAGCCCTCACAGGAACGGACGGTAAGGTAGGCTAGGAAAACACGGCAGGATGGATGGATGGATGGCTCGATGGTTCAGCGCTTGAGGAGGTAGACTAGCCGCTATGAACCTACGCTGGCGTTTGGCGCGAACCTGTCTGCCTGTCAAGCTCAACCCCTTCTTGTTGTCGTGCGGCCGGCCCTTTCCCAGACTTTTCTTTTAGGACATCCGCCGTCAATGTTTTTTGGTCGGTCCCAGACTTGATGGACTCGAGCGCGCGCGACGGACGGAAATATACATCTTGGCGCGCCGTTCCCAGCATTTTATTTCCAGCTCCTTCAAAGCCCGAGAGAGACTCTGTTCATTCGAGCTGAGGCTACGGTATGGTAATTTAGGTATGTCTTGTTCATGAACAATCTGTAATAATGTGCTGCAAGTGCCATGTGGAAATCAAACGACAGCCAGGCAAGGGGCTGAATTGAAAGGAGACGTGTAGCACGAAAAAGAACAATTACTTGTCAGGTTTCAACACAGCCCAAACACTGCATCATCGGCGTTCCTGTTCCCCCCCCCCCCCCCCCCCCCCCCCCCTTCCCGAGCCTCTCAATTCCTCCACCAGCCTGAATATGAGATGTGACATGCCGATCTCTCACCCAACACGGTCACCACCCGGGAATTCGGCGTACCAATTACAGTTACCAGCCGGGCCATCAGCTCCGCGTGAGATCAGAGACAGCAGCAACAAAAACGTGCCTCCTGCAGAGCCCGGGATCTTGCTGACGGCTTCTGGAAAGGCTGTGGAAGGGACCTTGCACTGCGATCGGCAGGATCGTCGGGGGGCGAACAAAACTCAATGGACCACGACAGGAATGTTTTGTCGAGACAACGGAAGTGCCGGCGATGATCAATTACTGCTTAAGGAAATGCTTGCAAGATGATACTGTATTGGGAGAATGAGGGGGAATAATGGGAGGGAGAGCGGTGCGTGTGCTTGATTTGTTGATGTTGTTGCGCTGTTGCGGAGCGAGGTGTTCCTAGCTGAAAGGACCTCGAAAGGATGCTTCCGTTTGCTTCCAAGCACATGCACATGCACATAGCAAAGAGAAAATTCGGGATACGAGAAGCGAGATTCCCGCCAACACCACCGTCACCACCACCACACTCGACAACACCAAGCTCATCTTCTCTCCATTATTCTAGCCGAGAACCATAAGCCGGGGACGGGTAGAACACTGTAAGGGGACTCCTGACTTATTCCTTCCCCAGCAACCACGAGGTCTGCCCTGCCTTGCCGTAGTCGAGTCTTCTTCAACGAACATATCATATCGCTTGCATCAATAATTGACATGTCATTGGCCCCCCTTTCTTTTCATTACGCCGAGTCAGGAGATGAAGCTGCCTCTCAGCCTTTCCAGCCAGGCCAGTAGTCTGACCACCTATCAACAATACTAATCTACCAATCTACCACCGCATAAACACACACACATAAACACACACGCAATACCGAATCATGCAACCCACAAACCCAACACACCAGTCTGGGATCGCAGCGTGTATCGATCTGTCGTCTGCCGTCTCCGTCTGTTTGTCCTAGCGAAATCTACCCAAGTAGTTAATTAGGTAAGGTAGGTAGATGTTCGTCCATTCGCAGGAGACAGATCCCACTCACACAAGGCTCTTTTTCTCTCTCGGAGATTTTTCCCATGTCGTGCACCTGCGCGCATACACCCACCTGTCATGCCAAAGCCAGCAGTAGTGGTAATCATTCAGTATCAGGACTTGGAAAGCTTAGAATAGCTGGCTATTAGCCTGACAAGAGGCTGAAGACGGCACATTTGAGTATGCACTACTACTCGAGCGTTTACTGCTGCCGAGGCTTTCCCTCCCCTTCACCATTGTTGTCAACACAAGCTGAGGTCTATACATGCCCATGTGCAAAAACTCTGAAGCATACTGTAAAAGCTTGAGCTAGCTTCCAGTAGAGTCTATCTTTATCTGATCTGATCAATCTGGTTGAGTGAGTAACCTGCGGGTGGGTTGTGTAGTGTAGTGTATTTTAACTTCCCTCTCTCTCTCTCTCGCGAGGCTGGGGTCCAGACCATCGCATGCACACCCTGTGGCTTGAACGTTGCATCGCTCTATTTCTCGTCACTCCCTCGCCCTGTTGATTTTGAGTTCAGGCGTTTTTGCATCTTCTCTCTCTCCTCTTCTCTCATGTGCCCCTCACGAATAATGGCTGGCTGGCTGGCTGGCTGTATGGCTGTATTCCTCGCTTGAAAACTCCTCAGAAAGAAAGAGCCAAGTAGAAACTTGGGGGGAAAAAACTTGGAAATACTTCCCCCTCTGCTGGCTGTGCTGCTGTTGCTGTTGTTGTGTGGTTTGAAATTTTGTGTTTTCGTGGCTTGATTGTCAATTTATTATTTATCCCATCGTGGAGTTTTATGAGGGGCAGACTTCGGTGGCTGGCTTTGAGGGAATGGGTATGGTATCAAGTGACCGCTTTCTTTCCCTATCCAAATAGTTTGGAGGTCGATGAGGGGAAGAGGGGACGTGGCCGTGGACGCATTACAATTCAGGCTGAAGACCTCGCGATATTAGGCCCTAATAGTCCGACCTATTATTCGCCAAAAAAAAAAAAACCCTTCTAGAAAGCGCCTGCTCAGACTTTCTTGGACAGGGAGGGTAGCTGATCGCGATGCTTGTTACTCTCCTACCGCTCTTCTGTCAATATCAGAGGTAGTAAGCTGGGTATCCGAGGATATTGCCTGCTTGAAGAGTTAGCCTGAAGATATGCAATCTCGTTGCTGGCCAGCCATATTCTGTGTCCTTCCCTCTTTGTCGAAAGTTCTTTCGCATTCCCGGATTTCTCTTGCCCGACTTCACGGTTCATCGAAAGAGGGCAATGGCATACATGGCATGATAATACCAGATGTCAACCTTCTCCCGTCAAGCATACATACTCGTTAAGAAGGGCCACCACAAAGCCAGCTGACTTCCATACCATGCCTGTTCCATGCCCGCCTTATATCCAATGGCTACCTAAATTACATGACTCAGTCCACACGTAACGAGAAAATGAATACCAATTCAGGACACCGGTACCTGCTGGCAGGTAAATTTAAGTTTTCGGGCACATTGGCCAGCTTGCAGCCCTGGTATCTGTCGGCTCCCTCGTTTATTTGTTTGTTTACTCAATATGTGATTAGTTACATCATCATCATCTCGTTCCTGAGACGCTATGTCTCGGCTCATCTCTCGGGGTGAGATTAGATGAGATGAAACATTATCAGATGAGATTGATGTGATAGGAAAGGTGGGGTTAGACCGTCAGCTGGGACGAGATGAGATGAGATGAGATGAGATGGGCTGTTGTAGAAGGAGGAAGGGAGGGATGGAGGCAGCGGAATTGAATATCTGGTGTTAGATGAGGTATCCTTGTTGGACATGGTTAGCTGGAGCATCAGGGGCACATACATTTCACTTCATCGGCATCGACGCGTCGTTTTCAGATGTATTTATCGCTTGGAATGGACGGCGATAAGATCAAAGGCCATTCTCTCTCTTTTGGCTTCTTCTCTCCCTTCCTCTCTGTTCAGCTAAACAGTCGATTCACCCAAGGCTTGAGTAAAGATCTTCATTGCCGTCTCAAGGTCTGAAATCTATATATTTTACTCAGGTTACGCTCACTATTGAGTCCCTCGCCTTCAAACACACCGAATATCGCAACATATACATGCATGTGTTCAGTCTTACTGCTACCCATCATTGAATTGCATGACAATACTCTTTTGTGAATAGCCTCCGAATTCATTGTTGCCAAAAAAGACCATTGTACTGCCAGACATCCATTTTTTTCCCCTTCCAGATATCGTGTTTTCTGCAAGCGTGATCATTTTGGGCAGGAGGTTCTCTGTCGTCATCTATATTTTTGTCGTCAAGAATCTTGCGAGATGTTTAAGTTACTTATGACAGCAGTGATGCCGAGCTATTAGATAAGGCACTCTCCAGACTTTTGAAATAGTGAACATCCTGGGCCGTATCTCAAGCGCCTCAAGACCTAGGTCTACAAAAGTTTTGCCCAAGAGATTTCTATGCAGGTGAAAACAACTGTCGGGTGTCTTGTTTTGGGAATCATGGATCCAATCTATGTTTTATATACCTCCGTGAAGTAGCCATTCACTATCAGCCCATTTCCAAGTCTCCGGTCCTTCTTTTTTTTTTTCTACATGGTGAAATTGCCAACAACCTTGGTTGTAGTGCAAGAATAGCGGGGAGTGGTATAAATATCTAGCTCGAGTACAGTACACTGTTTAGAAGTTGACGTGGTTATACCATCAGCAAAACAAGAGCTACTCGGGATTGGTCAAGAACGATAATCGAGAAGATTCGTTCGTTTAGTGGAATTGGATGTCGCGGATTTCTTCTGCTCACAGTGCTTTGCCGTAAACTGTTATATTTTCTTGGACAAGCATTTTTCCAAAAATCGCTCACTGGAATGAAAACCATGGACAGTACGTTCGGTATTGACAATACTCAATTTGATGATAATATACCAGATCACACATCCATTTATGTTCAGACTTCTGTCACTACCACCTTGGCGGGATATTTGTTTTCAGCACGCGGTGCTGAGTTGCAAACTTTCAGAATTTGCAACCATATTCCAGCACAAACCAGACTGAGCTTCGTATTCTCCCGTCACCCTTGTCAACAGCTACCGTGGAGATGAGATGACGGGTGTAGTTTTTGAGATGACTTACACGCAAGCAAAGCATTGTCGACGTGGTTATGCTCCTCACCTCCAGCATGTAGAAAGTAGCAATGTTTATGTAAGTCCAGTATCCGCAAGCGAGCTGTGCCGTTCTCACCATTTCACCATTTTGAAGCATAGAGATCTAAGCTGTTCTTGGAAGAGAACTTTTCAAACATAAATCATGGCTTTCCAAAGGTTATGGTAATATTTTCTGACCATGATTTCTGCTTGCTGTGTGTGGTGACAGAGGCTTTTGCTGGTTGAGTACCCTCTGCTGTGAGCTGGTAAAGCTGGAAGCTTTTGGAAGAAAAAAAGATTTCTACATTACAGAAAGTCATAAGAAGAGGTTCTGGTCTCATATGAGTGCGGCTGGAAATCAAGTGCCTTTTCACAGACTTGGGATTAATAGCAGGTTTTTTTTTATGACAAGAGCGTAACGCTCACCTCGCTTACGGCCTGGCAGCATGATGACATCGTAAGAAGAAAATCGTTGAAGAGGATGGCGTATGATTGATGGGCTTTCAATCGCTTCATTCCAAACCATAAGCCCTCTTTTTTCGATGTGATGACTGAAAGACGATGACCTTGTATGGTTGAGCAACAACACCATGTTTTACACCGCCCACGTTCCCACTCGAACCTATTTCTGGGGTTCCCCTCTGATTTGAATCTTTCGAAAATCTCATTTCGTTACATTTCATTGGCTATCACCTATACTTTCGCCCTTTCGCTACCAATCACAAGCCTCTCCAAGCAATACCGCCAGTTTTTCCAGCCAGATCTGGTCAACCTCGTCGAAACCATTGAGCTCGGCACAGTCAATATCAATGATAGCCACTACCTCTCCTTGACTTCCACCTTTCAGAATCGGCACAACGATCTCACTTTTTGAATCGCCGTCACAGGCGATATCTACCTGGGGTCAGCGAGAGACAATTTTACATCCACTCCTCCCTTCCTTGGCTCAAACAATATCTTAAAGGACTGGACATAGATGCATATAGAGATAAAATTCGAAGGGGGGCTGAACAGGAAGTGGAAGAAGTAGTCACTCACGGCCAGGAAACTTCTCAACATCTGGTACTAGTTGCGTTTCTTTCAACAAAGCAGCCGTTCCGCAGACGCCTCGTCCGTAGAGTATCGTTTGACATGCTACCTTACCCTGAAAGGGACCGAGAATGAGTTGAGCTTTTGATGAAGATGTGGAGGAAGTCTTGCGATCGAGGACGTAGAAACCTATATATTTCAGTTGATATGGGAATGCAAGGAAGTTGGACGAGATCCGCGGATGAGGAAGTTAAGGACTTACCAGCCCAGTTAACGTCTACTGACGGAGCAGGCAAAGACTTATAGGCGTGCCATAATAATGATGCCGTATTTGCCAGATTACTGACAGGCCATCGTTCAGCTTCACTTCTTTCATACAAAAGCTGGCCCACACGTGATGGACTTTAGAAAACATACCAGACCTAGGCGACTAGTTAGCTGCTATTGTGTATAAATGAAGAGCAAGCTATGTGGAGAAGAAGATTGTCGTACCCAATTCCTCTGTCCCTCAAATAGCGCAACGGCCTGATCTAATACCTGCTTATACGCTTCCTCTTTCGTCACTCCCGAGGCGAAGTTCGATGAGTCTGCATGAACCTATTCTCGTTTCAGTTACTGAACCAACAACAACCCTCATTCTCATTAATAGGAAGTCCCAATCATACCATTCTCTAGGTCTAGTGGGAACGAGCTCCCGTGAGGTTCACAAAGAAGAATTGTTTGCTGTTATGGAATTTTCAGAAATGGAAGTGGAGCTACTGACAGAACGGAAGGAGGTTTGTCATCCTTGTTTGAGACGGATAGCCGAACACGTGATATTAGATCATCTTTAATTTAAGGATAAGGCCGAGGGAGAATTTTATGGACGATAGTCTAGTTAATATGTTTACTTGTGTGCGATTGGAGAAACGATTAGTGGGGCATAGCTTCAAGTTGCTACAAGTTAGGTTCTTAAAAGCAGTCGGCGTACAATTTCTGGGGCACTTCTGTAGACTGGCGAGGGAAAAGTGAACTGCACGATCAAGTAGAATTCCAACTTGCAAACATTTTTCTTGACAAGCAGTTTATCATGAACTGCTAAAATGTGCCCACTAAACGCCGACATGATGCCCCATACTCCGAAACTCAAATTCATCAATATCTCTGTCTATGCTTTTTGATGCCCGCGTCCATCGCATCCGGCTCCACAGCTACTCCCAGACTCGTGGCTCCAAGACCTTGCGACCCACCAAGGCGCCTTCCAGCAGTATCTCTATTAGTTTCGAATCCTTCCCTCTCGCTTTCCACCAACTTCGTCTCAGCCGCCTCGCTCAACATCGTGCCCTCAATGCTCAAGAATCCTCTCTCCTTATCATGACTGGACTCGATTTCACGTACTCGGAATTTCACCATTCCTTCAATCTTCTTTCCCTCTCCGTCAACATAGTATCCCATTCCTTCTTCGGCATATGTCTCTCCTTCTCCTTCCCATCCCTCTCTCGCATCACTCACATCCTTCCACTTCCAGTCACTCGGCAAACATTTCCGCTCTATGCTTGCATTGAATAGATTCCAGCAAACCAGTCCTAGATGTCCTTCATTCTGCAAATTGACATATCCCTCCAGCCAAGCTCCCTTCTCCGGTTTGAATAGCAGGAATTCCGCAGTCAGCCATGTCCAACTAACAGCGTACTCATCGTGATTTTGTAGCAACACCTCCTCTCCGTCGTTTCCAAATGCCTTCTCTGATAATCTGGGGTTGCTGTACGAGAGCAGTACGCCGTTGAATGGTGGGTAGTATGTGAGGAGTAGCGGGGAGAGATGTTCGGCGCAGATGCCTTCGAGTGGGTACTTTTGCGACACAGGTGCCAATGGCAGATATAACGATGAGGTCTGTAGATGGAATGGAGATATCGAAGCAGGTGTCTCCAAAATCTCAGACTCGACAGCTCTTGCATCCGACTTGTGCTTTTTCGATTTCGACTTGGGTCCTTCCTCGCCGTGGTCTCGTTTCCGCTTCTTCTCGCCATGTGAGGATTTCGATTTCTTCTCGGACTTCGATCTGTGCTTTTCGGACCCCATCGTGTCTGTCTGCGAAAGAGTTGTCGTCTCAATTGACATGCTGGGAAGGTTTTGAGAAGATATCTGCTTCCGTTGTCTCGGGTTAAAGTTAAAGTAACTTTTTTTGCGCCTCAAAAGGCTGACAGTTCGATCGGCCGCTAGCGTGCATTAGCGCAACCTTAATCTACCTCGGAGGGCTGCGTCGCGAAGTGGACAGTTTGAGCCTCGCGATTATTACTGATTGTTCTGGACACTTCTTGTCGCCTCCCACTTTCTCCTGTTCCTTTCTCAACAACCATAATTTTGCTTCATGATATCTCTCGTGGGCTTTTCTTAGAGCTTCAAGACACATCATGTCTACCAGCAACTTACTTTCTCTTGCTGGCTGGACATTTCTCCCAAATGTAAGCGCCACTCTGAAAATAGGCAAACTTCCACCAAATCCGGAAAATTTTGCTGATGAAATGTACAGTTTGTCACAGGATGGCTCCAGACGATATACTATGGGATTATGATCCGCGCCGGTGACCCAAAACCACAGCCAGGCTCTCCGCGCTACATCACACATCGCCGGCGCATACACATCATAGTAGTATCTGCCTACCTCCTTTATACAATATACGAAGCAGACTGGGAAATACGGCGGGCGAGCGACTTTTATCAAGATCTGGGAGTGCCATATACCGCTACAGAAAGGGAGATCAAGTCCAGGTTTCGGCGGTTAGCAGCGATCCACCATCCTGACAAGGTGTCCTCCACATCCACCACCACGGAAGGATATTTCGTGCACCTAAAACTCGCCCAAGACACTCTCCTAAACCCCGCAAAGAGATTTGCATATGAGCGCTTTGGACCCGAAATCACAGAGTGGCAGCGCTGTTCCGGCATCCGCGACTTCGTCGTGCATGGCTTACAATCAATCCTCCCCTATTACGGCGCGGCGGCAATTTTCATGTATATTTTGGGAATGATGGGATATTTGGAGTGGGGCAAATACTGGCGGTGGCTCACACTGGTTGGATTCTGCGTGTTCGAATTATATACTGTTTCTCGGCCTCATTTTCCCTCCTTCGCGGCCAACATCGTCAACCCCTTCCTCACGAACTTCACCGCACACCCCCCCTACCTCCCTTTTCAACTCATCCAACTGGGACGAAAATTCAGCATTACCCTTTACATCGCATTTTCGCAGATAGGACCGCATCTCGAACCTCCTACCCCGGTCGCATCGAATGCGGGCCCAGAAGTGCAGTTGAAACAGCAATTAGATCGGTTAGAAGCCACAGCGAAGATCGTGGACGTGGAAGCTACGAGAGACGTACAGCTGGAACTGAGTCCGTTTATGGGCGACGAGCAGGCTATCGGGGAAGTAAAGGGCAAGATGAAGGAGTGGCTGGTACAGAACACGATACAGAGCGATCCTGAGGTTCGAGATGCGATAGGCACCTTGCTGAAGAAGAGGAGAACGGATGCGCCTGCTGGGGCTAGAGGAAATAGATAGTTCTAGATACAGGACATCTGTTTGCGCTTATTAATAGAACAGTCAACATTCACAACCAGGAGTCTTGCTTTGTTTCTCTTGCACTTCTTCTCTACAAAGTGATTGAGTGAAAGCAAGATCTGGAACAACAAAGTAAGCTGAATCATAGTGTAGCCCAGTAAGGGTTCATCTCCTGATGTTCGTTGTACTACGAGTCTGATGAAAGATTCCGATTTTGAGCATACGAGTGGCAGCATCTAATACCAGCACGATCTGTAAATTTCCGCTCCAACTTGTGGCTTCCAAAATCCAAGACAAGAAAGACCGCCCGTCCATGCCCAAAACATCACTGGAACCGCCTTTCCAGCACACCCCTCTACCTCCAGGACATCTGCAAGTCTTCGAGTATCAAGTCAAAGCTTTTCTTCGTCAGCTCAACCATGTTTTCGGCGTTCCGACTACGAAAGCTATCGAAGACAGCATCGTCAAGCCCGAACTTGTTGTTCCTCTTCAGGTATTCAACGACAAAGTCCAACGTTTTTCTGGCCATAACACCTCTGCCCCCGACTTCCAGAACACGAGGGTTTCCCGCAACGAACTGCTTGGCAATGTAGTTAAACTGATCCCGTTAGATGGCAAGCATGCCTTCCTTGATCTGACCGAACCAGGCTTCAACTTCGGCATATGCTGCAACTTCGTCCTTTGTGTATTTGCCAATGACGGGGGATTGCAGCACCACTTTCTCGAGAAGTTGTCCCTTCGCAACGCCGGGTTCAGTATATACCAGGTTGTTCTTGAAGCTATGGCACTTGCAGAGGATGTCGAAATTATCGACATAATAGCCCTGTCTAGCCTTCGTGGAGCCAGAAACCATGGCATAGTTGACGGTGAGCTCCTCCCCCTGTTTGAGACTCGTGCCGCACGGAAGACCATAAATTCCCCTTTCGAGAACCCTCGTGCAGTGTTGGGGGAACAGTCATGGTTGAGTCGAGACGCAAGCTCGTACAAAGCTGGGCCTGAGGGGGCTTCATAGGAGTTGATCTCCAGGATATGTGCCAAGCGTGTTTCCGTGCATGGCTTCACTTTGCAGCTGCAGTGGCTGTGTAAGTTCATGATTCTCTTCTTTTTGTCCTCGGACAATATGGTGAACAGAGCTTCCTTGTAAAGGTTCTCATTCGCGCCTTTGATGATGACTTCTTCAACAAAGAATCTCTGTGCCGGCTATGATATGTTGAAGAGCGAACGCACCGACGCCCCCTTTCTCTGTAGCGTGATTGAATCTGAAGGGAAGTCCGGGTGGTATGACTAGGAGAGAGTTGGTCAGCTATTGGTAAGATGGTGTAAAAAGACTTACCCGGCAGGGTCTCATCCGTAAACTCCTTTTCTTACTTTTCCTTGATAGAGCAGGCGTACAACTTGTCGAGCAAAAGTCTCTCCTCTTCTTCCTTCACTCGTACTTCTGCCTTGGCCTTCTTCGCATTCTGCTTCTTCCGTCTGTGACGCTCGGCTCTGACACTTGCTGTAGACGGGGTACTTTTGCTGTCATTGTCGACTCCACGCTTATCGGAGATTTTGCTGAGCTTTTGTAAAGCTGAGGTCAGCGTTACTTCACTATGCTGGAATTTTAATAATGCTGAACCCACCTTCGATAGTTCATCATAATTATTGGACTTCTCCCATGTGGCATCATCTGACATCGTGGGAGTTCTGGCAGGTGTTCTCCCATGTTGGGCTGTTTTTTGGTGGCAGTAACTGGCAAACACTGTCAAGAGAGGTACTGTGTAGAACTTTTGGGGGAAATGCTCTTCGATACGGAGCTCATATCAATATCTAGGTGGGAATACTTTATCCGGTTCTTCGGCTGGGGCTGCATATCGCCATGAAACACCTTTGTTGACTTTTGGCTCTGAAGCTGCCGGTAGCCGAGACGTCACATAGATTGGGTGACTTCTAGGCAGCACTGGGACAGTTGGAACATTCAACGTAGCATTTTTACCAGGCTTAGTGTTCCAGGGCTCGCAACTGACAATTGCGTGTTTGTCTGCTTTTGATCCTGTTTCGAGTGTAGTGAACCTTTCATCTGGAAAGCCCTGTATCCCCAGCGCCCAACCGAACTGGCTTGCCGTCCGCTTGTTGTAAGATTGGAAATGAATAGAAAACAGCCCGTCCTACGGACTACCAATAAAATATGCGTATAATCGACGTACCCCATAGAATCTCTTCATAGTCACCTGGGGTGGGGCGAGACCAGCCCGAAGGTTTCACTCGCTTAAGATGGTCAAAGACTAAGAAAGAGATAAACAAGAGACCAAGAAAAGGGTATATGCACTTTGGCGGAAAGCATGGCTAGCTCTGGAGATCCAGTTACTCACAGTAAATTCTAGGTACAGGGCAATTGAGCAACTTCAGCTTGTACACCTTTCTGCCTCCAAGTCTTGCCTTTATACGCCAAGTCTCCGAATATAGTTTGAATCTCCATTTCCTCTGCTGTATTTTCACTATAAGACCAACTTACGAGGACAAAACTGACTTGGAAACAGAGCTTGAGCCTAATAAAACGTCTCCCCACGAGCACAAGCCACCAATGCCGAGCCCTCAACATTTCCATGCTTTTTAGCTATCCCAAAAAATTCAATTTCTTCAAACCTCTCGACTGCTTGACTGTGTCCTAGTAGTCCCCCAGTCTCCATGTTTTTGCAGGCTATTTGCTGTCTGCGCCTTTTGACTCGACGACGTACTTAGTCCAAGATTGCCGAGACATGAAACACAAGCACATGCTGCAGGGCAACCAGTGCCTTTAAAACCTCAATGGTAGAAAGACCACAGTGAAGTTCAGTTTTCAACGCAACCAATCACCCACACTTATGGAGTGAACTGAGCGAGTGAGCGTGATATGTAAATCACGTAGAACAAGTCAGATTTTAAAATGTAAATAGTGTCAGACGAGGCTGCCTCGGCTTATTGTTGCCACCTTAGTCATAAGCGACACTTGATCGAGCCTGAGGCAGAAGTAAGGCTAGCCAAATCTGCCGACACAGCCTCGAACTGGAGAGGCTGCACGAACAGCCTTGCAAAACAAGACAACCCTTCTCATCTCCACCGCAATCACTTGCCATTCAATCATCACCAAACGTGTATCTTCGTAATCAGCGCTATTGCTTGCCTATCCGCGAATCCCAATTACCTGTCGTTGAGCCGAATTGCGTCGGCCTTGCGACATGGAGCCTTCCTCGAAGAAACGTCGACTTGCTCCGAAACTGGCAGAACAAGCCCATGAACAGGTACTGCCTCGTTGTTAAAGGTTTCATATAATTCATACTGACAGATTCGATAGGCCCAGTCGGCTCGATTCGACTACAAAACCATACCTCCTCCACAAGATGCCGTACCTCCTCCCGAGCGGAAAGACTTCGAGTCTTTCGCGCGTCACCTCCAAGATGCTGCGATGCTCATCTATGCACAAGCCAATCAATCCCCATATACAAGCGTCTCGGTCCTCCTCTTGCGATGGGAAGATGATTTGAGCGTTGATCAGGATTTGCAACAACTCCAAAAGCTCTTCCGCGAGCGCTTCAACTTCCGGACCGAGTCTTGGTGTATACCCAGCTGTCCGAATCCAAGCATGAAACTCACCATGCACATGGCACAACACCTCGAATATTCAAGACCTGATCACTTGTGGATCGTATACTATGTCGGTTATGGATTTATGGGTTCAGATCATAATTTATACTGGGCTTGGTAAGGTCATATCTCACAGCCTTACTACCTAAGCTGATACTGTGATAGCAATCCTCGAGATGATTCTTCCAAACTTAAATGGGATGGCGTCAGATGTCTCCTCGAAGATGCCCAGTCCGATATTCTCCTCCTACTCGACACATGTGCGGTTGCCGACGCTCCTACTGCTGGAAGTCATGGTATTAAGCAAGCTATTGCGGCATACAGCCCCGATCAGATCACCAAGGAGCCAGGAGCACGCTCTTTTACATTCAACCTCATCGAAGCTCTAAGCAGACTCGGCACTGGTCGGCCTTTTAGTACACAGCGCTTGCACGAGGAGATTATTTCCATGCAGCATAATAAGTTCTTGCAAACATCTGGTCTGACCAATGGGTCAAGTAAACCTCCACCCGGCCGAGAAAGAATGCCTGTTGTTTTCTCATTGACTCCAGGTGCAATGCAAAGCATTACGATCTCACCAATTGTTCAGCAACCACCTGGCGGTTCGCTTATACCGTCCCCTCTGGGTTCTCCTGACAATGATCTACTACCATCCAGAAGCCTCCACAACGAGCAACAACTGCTGAAGATTAGCTCAAATTCCGATCTTACATTTGAAGAGATGAGAGCTTTGGTTTGCACAACTTTTCTTGGTGAACCCAGTCAAGAGATGGCTTCGTTTAAACAGTGGCTTCTGAATACTCCGATCGCAGCTGCAAAGATTGCCGTGGAAGGCATGTTTCATGGACCGCCAACCGTACTCTTGGTTTCTATGCCAATCGCTATCTGGAATGTGGTTGCTGCAGATCGTACATGTGCCTTTCTGGGCTATGTAAATTCACATAACATGACGACCGAATATCAACGTCTGATCGGCGGGATGTCGCCCATCGCAAAGACCGCAACCTTCAAAGAACTCGAAGATGGCAAGATTCTTCTTGAGGCCCGTCAAGCTGCTACCTCGACTCCTCTCTTGAATCGACATGAGCCTCGTCCAGAATTAATGCAGCAGGATCCGATGCGCCAAAGCATGGGACAAGATGGCATCTCAATGGGAACGCCCAATCCTGTTCCTCAGGTTGTATTTCAAAATGTGGAGCAACCAGTCATTCCTGACCACAAAGATGAGGTTGAAGATTCTGTCGAGATGCATGAAGCCGCAGAACAGCTGAAGGCACTTAGCCACGTCCGACACCTAAGTCACGATCACGCCAATAGCGAACGTAATCAATCACATATACCATCTGAAGAATCCCCTGGGTTACGAAGTGGTCGAGAGGGGTCTGCATCATCACACGATCAGAATGATTCGGGTGGGGAAGACCAAATGTACAATTCCGAGTACAACTCACCTCGACCAAAACCTCGAAGATCTATCCAGAAACAAGGCCCCAAGCAGGACACTCGATGCTCTCTGTGTAGCCATGCTCCTTTCAAGGACTCTTCCTCACTCCGAAAGCACATTGCTGCAGCTCATACCCGACCTTTTCCCTGCGCCTTCTCTTTCGCTGGTTGTACTAGTACTTTCGGATCAAAGAATGAGTGGAAACGACATATTGCCTCGCAGCATCTCTGCCTAACGTATTATCGCTGCTCTTCCTGTCCACAAAGTACTGTCGAAGGCAAAGGCAACGAGTTCAACCGCAAGGATCTGTTCACACAGCATCTTCGTCGGATGCACGCCCCTTTTGCTATCAAGAAGGCCATTGCAAAGGGCGACAGCAAGCTACAGCTAGAGTGGGAGACGCATGTAAAAGATATGCAAACCAGCTGTTTAGTAACACGTCGACAGCCACCACAACGATCTGCGTGCCCCAAACCTGATTGCTCTAATGTTTTCGAGGGTACCGGCAGCTGGGATGACTGGACTGAGCATGTAGGTCGTCACATGGAGAAAGGTGAGGCTGGCAGACTTGGTGTAGATAAGTTGCTTGCACGATGGGCCCTCGAACAGGGCATTATCGAACGTAAGGAAGATGGCGAGTTGAGACTAGTAGGTACCGAAAGAGAAAGTGGTGCTGGAGCTGGTTACTATAGTGACGGTAACGGCAATGTGGCACCAAAGCGCGATATGGGTGATGATGCCAAAGGCGAAGGAGACAGCATGCTGCTCGACAGTTGACAATTGCTGCAACAAGCGATTGACGGATAATTTGATATTGGGGGATTATTATGGGGTGTTATGGAGTCGGAGTAAAAGTATTGCGTCTCCTCATCTTGGAGTCCCATGTATATTCGTTTTGTCTTTCACTGTTTTTCTATATTGCGCTTTTGAATTTCTGGTCTGGCCGGTCGGTTGGGTATTGGATGGAATGGAGTCTAGCACTACAGTTCCTTCTGTCCTGGCTTTCTTATATTGGTGGATGAGTAGGATAGCTCGCACTTCAATGTTTTGGACACTTCAGGCTGTGATGGAAGAGGAGGAGAATATGCAAGAGCAATCGAGATATTCATGATTCTACAAACGAGTTGTCGACTCTCGTTGGCTTGGTGCAATAGGTCTAGAAGTGATGTTGTTCCTGCTCTCAGCACTGGCTCTTTGTTATCTGTATGCTTCGTCCTCTTTCAACCTATCTTGATCACGAATAGCACTTACCTAAGATTGGTTGGTATCTCTACGGTCTTATCTCCTATGTCCAATCATCACACGCTGCATCGTTGCGACTTGTTTGCTTCTGGATCTATCCTTCTTGCCCAGTCGACTTACCGCCCGGATCAATTTCCACCCGACCTCTCTGTCTCAAGTCACCCAACTTGAATATTTCTAGAGACTTACAATTGATAGACAACAGGTTGTTTTCTCTTGTATCACTCTAGCTGGAAGCTCAACTTGCGAAAAGAGTATGGTACATACGACGATCGCGAGGCGCGGGAGATCGACATGCCGAACGTAGATGGTAGATCTGCTAGCGATACGAGGTACTGACTGCCAAGGGAAAAGACTCAGGGCTGAAGCTGTTGGGTACTGTTAGCTGGGTCGGGTATTGATTCATCTCAGTATTGGTGTTGGTGATCAACGACTTTCATTCAGACATTGGATGTGGAAGTTGAGGGTTGGGAATTGGCGCTGGCTGGTGTTGTGGGTGGGGTTGAGGAACGGGCGATGGCACTCTGTCCTGGCTGGGGTTGGGTTTGTGTCAGAGGCTGTAAGTTTCGGCAGTCGATCTCTGTAGGTTTACAAGAGAAGGGTAATTAGAGTGTCACGGCAGTTGGATATTTGGGTTTTGAGGTTTTAGGTTGGGCAGGGAATCAGGAGTTCGTTGCTGTTTGATTAGGTTGAGAGACTCCTAATTTTACCTTACGTTTGGAGATCGGCTTGAACTGATCGTGCATCTCCGGTTCCGCTTGATTGTTGAGCCTATTATTGGCTTTGATACTTACAGTTTCGAGTGGATACTCAAGCGCTTGATTTCGATAGTTTGGAAGTATATATCATGTAAGGCTGGGGTTGTATCCTAGGAATAGAGTTCTTAGACTAGGGCTGGTTTGAAAGGCAGGGAGAACCCAGTTTGAAATTGTATCTGCCGAGCTTTCGAACTTAGATGTTGCCGAAAGTAATTGGAACCGTTCGTTCATGCTGGCTCATTTTTGGGGGGTTGGGTTTGGACGCGATCAGGATTTGAGTTTGGATTAGACATGGGTGCAGTTCCGCGGGGCTGTCGTTGTGGTCTGACAATTTTGACATTAGCTTTTCTGAATGTTCTGGAAGTCGGGGAACAATGCTGGTCGCTCTGAATGCGCACATGACAGTTACTCAGGCGGGGGTTCTTGCAAGGGGTGGTTTCGGACTTGAGTTCCAATATCCGAATTCTCCGTGAATTCTGGGTTGGGGTCTGTTGCATGTTAAGATCACGTCTACATGGCCGTGTATGAGAGCTCGTGGTCTAACTGCCTTTACTAGATGGCGTGGATGGACTGCCTAAATGTTGAGACCTGGACATTGATGTCAAACTTTCGGCCCTGTGAACTCCGGAGGGACCTAGCAATGTGATGCCAAAGGTATGGAGAATAGGGTAGCTACAAGTTAGAACAGTAGATAGAGGAAGGGGTATCAGAGATAAGAGTAAATCATAATTTTCCATAGCCCTGGGATCTAAAGTTCGTCTGCAAAGAAGCTGAAGTGGCGCGAAATTGATCTGTGGAATACCACCTTAAATGCACCAAGAAAGCAAAACACAAGATGCGTCTTACTGGGTCTCTTTAGTTGTGACTTTTCAGGGTACGAAGGCACATTCAATCACTGCATAAGCATGGCTCGAGAAATATGTGGACAGCACGCCTGCTCGAAAGAGATCGCAAAGAGGGCTGTGCGTAATCATGTATTAGCAAAAGTTTAGAGAGAAAGCAAGTTAGACGAGCCACGGACGTATATTCTGCTCACGCTCGGTTTGCCACTTATAATAGAATATTACTTGTGGCACGTACGGCTTGATTGAAGGTGAAGTTGGAAATGAGAGTGAAGGCGAAAGGAGAAGTCGCTTAATGTTTGTTGACATATTTACGCGAGGTTAAGTGGAGCAGAGCGGAATCGAAAAATCAAAAAGCAGAGTCGGTCGTTTGTAAAGATGTTAAAAGTCTATGACGCTGTGATTGAGCAAGGGAAGGCACTTTTGAGTGATGTAATGATGGAGGGAGGCATCTATGTCGAATGACTCTGCTGAGTGACGTAATGATGGAGGGAGGCATCTATGTTGACTGACTCTGCTGAGGTGAAACCAAATAATCGCAGGGTCATGACAGAAAACTCTTGGGTTACATTGATTTAAGCACACTAAAAATGCACTTCGGTGGAATATATTAACTCTATTTCTTAGTTTGACATTAACTCTATTTGTTGTTTGAGTCGCTGTCCAAAACTCTCAAACATTCTCGGTTATGATTGCCATTTGAAATATATCCCGGTAGACATGGTGGATGTTGTTCACTGCCAGAATAGGCAGTAGAGTTGAAACTCTGTGATCTAATCATCTCTCATCCACTCAAGCATACTGACGTAGGATCGACTTGAAAATAACAGTTTGACACGCAGAACCCAGCCGGAGGTATCTCCGCAGCCACTCCTACCCTCTTCCACTGATCAATGTCTTACTGTCAATCAGACAGCTTAAGAAATGCAGAAATGACACATCTCATTCCCAATCATCAGACAGGAGTGACATGAGACGACACGAGGCAAAAGGGGGGCAGAGACATGGCGTATTGTGGAATGTTCCTGGCAAATAGGGGTGCACGATAAGCGAATGTGTTATGATCTGAGGCTTTTGGGGCGCTTGAAGGAAAGTAAATGGAGGAAGAATATGACATAGATGGCTGTCTATGAGAGAGCAAAAAATCTGGTGAAAGTTGCTTGGTGCAATTTGTTTGATTTGGGTGTTATTGTTGAAAAGCTTGTGGGTTTTTGTGGTTGCCCTAAGAGACGAGAGATAGAATTCTGAAGCAGGAAACGGACAAGAGTGACAAATTGCCCCCAGAAAGGTGGAAATAGTTCAACAAAAGAGAATCAATACACACTCAGAGATATCACATTCTCACTGTCTTCGGAATCCTGCTAATAGACATCAAAACATCTAGCGGAACATCTCACCGCATCTCCGCCAGATTCCAACTCAGTCACAACCCCCAATCTCAGTCCCGGAAGCCAACGATCCATCAACACGTAATCCTGTCCCTTTCCAGATCTCATTTCTGGTAAATTTCACAGGCCGTTCTTCCATTCCTAGAGTATGCTGCACGGTAAGGAGAAAGAATATCGAGTCAATATCTCTTATCATTTCAGAGGCGCCTTCTCCCGTCCGTCCCGCGTGGCCCACGCCAGCGCCACAATAGTCCCACGTAGCTTCCACGGACACTAGAACGTGGATAGATAGATTTAGAGCTATAACGGGCTTGCTTTCCTTTTGATTTTGTGGCGTGGGCGCTGTATAGAAGGTATGCTGATGGGGTAGGTTTTCCCTGCCCGCCGTGGCGTGCGATGCCTGCCACTAGCTTTCTTTCTTTCCCGAGATCGTAGTTTAGAGAGGGCTTGGAGGCGTTTTTTTTTGGAAGAGGAGTAAAGGCGGAGAGAAGGAAATGTGTATCGATTTTTCAAGGCTGAAAACTTGACGCCACGAGGTCGGTGGCTTTTATCGAAAAGGAAAAAACAAGTGGTTAGGGAGTTATGTGCTCTCTGCAGAGCACGTTGTGTCACCACGCACGTTTCGCTCGTGTGGGAGGGTTGACGTTTATTTGTTTACTTTTTTTTTTTTGAGACCTGTCGCTTTTTCCCCCTCTGGTCGAGTAAATTTATACACTATCTATCTATCTATCTTTAAATGGTAAGCTTGACAAATGAATTCGTACAGAGCCCGTGTCAAATACGTGGGATGAACGAGATGTGGAGCGTATCATCGACTGTACCTGGGTTGCCACAAATTATATGAATATCGAGGGAAAGTGTGAGTGCTGGCATGCATGCAAAGCAGTCAAGTCACCACCAAATTGCTCAACATAGAAGTGCAACCAATTCCGGGTGATGGGAGGGTTCGGGTCCAATTTTCGTTGCATCAATTGAAGCCTTCCTCCGTTCTAAATGCAACGATAACAACAAGTCCCCAAACAAAACCATGAGAGACATTGGCGGTACATATCTCCGGACAGCATAGCCATGGAAGCGTCTCAGACCTATCTAATATATCATATCAGATCCCAAGATAGCGGAACAGCCGTTGCGCTACAGTACATTATCGTGTAGTAAAGTTATGACGAGGAATGGAAGTGGCACGATTTACCTGTATGAAGTTTCTTTTGTACGCTTGAATTGAATGGGAGGAGGGAGTGAAAGAGGACTTTTTGCCCTTTGATGTGGAGTGGCGCGGCTTGGAGGCTGGCTTACACGTGGTGGCTGAATGACAGAAGATGGGACTGAACCTATCACGAGGAGAGGAAGGGAGAGATGTATATGACAGAATTGTGGCAGGTGCAAGCGTGCGTGCTGGACATGTGGTATGTGAGGTGGTGGTGGTGGTGGGAAAAAGCAAAGCAAGTCGCCTGTGATGCTTGTGTGACTGAAGGAGGCGCCTGAGGCGTTGATGACTGGAGTGAGGAGGTGTGCTCCGAACGGGATGGAAGCGAATGAAGCTGCTAGTGGTGGTGTGTATGATAGAAGGAAAGAATTGTGATAAACTATCTAACCTTTCCAAAGTATGAGATATGATCAGTTGGGACGACAGCGCCTCCGGCGGGAGGAGGTCTCACAGAGTAGCGGAAAGATTAAGTATTGCCACATTGACTGTATGAAGGAAGGGATATTCCGAAGAAAGAATCTTTTTTTCTTTCTTTCTTTCTTCCTGTGACAATACTTGAACCTCGCTTACAGTATTCCAATATTCAAAAAAGAAAGGAAGGAAGATTTGCACGAAGAGGTTCGGCAATGGGAAAAAAATTAGGGAAAGGATTGGCGAGATAAGCCGTTTGAAGCGCCCTCAATAAAAAGTAAACATCACCGTTTCTAGCCATGGCTTCACACGGGGATGGCTCCGAGCGAAAACTCCTGAACATGGCAGCAAAAGCCCAGGACGGCCCTAGACGAGGAATTCCACATCGAATGAAATTGCGTGTACTGTCTTAGATTCGGCAGATGGACAGCACATGAAAAATATTACTGTTTGATTTGTATCCGAGGTCAGGCCCTTGCCTCGGGACGGGCCAGAGCGAAATGTGCCGACGAGAAAAGCAAATATTGAGACCGGACTTGTCAAAGCGGCGTCGAAGAAGGATAGGATTTGCCTTGGTGGCTGAATTAAGGTCGTGAATTGAACGATGTTCAAAAAAAAAAGGCGTCGGCTACAGCATACAAGTGTACATGAGGCTTGAGCCTCGTGATTAAGTTGTAATATGTACCCTGCATTTGAGTTTCCGTAAACTATACCTCTTTAGGAAGGGAAGTAATTATCATGTTGCTTGGACTTCGGTTGATTGTTGTTGTACCAAATATTGTGATATTCGAGGCGTTTGGACGCCAAATCATACATACATCAGCTTTGCGAGAACGAAAAGAGAGTGATGCCGTTTCTCGGGTTCCACAACATGAGGACGGAAGTGGTTTCGAAACGAAACCTCGCCCTTGGCACGTCATCTTAAACACAGTTGACTTGATGATACTCCATGTTCTCGGATACCTTTTCTGGGCAATCGGCAATACTCGATTTCATGCCTGCTCATAACCGATGCGAGCTCCATTGAAAGTGTCAACAATCAAAGACAACCAAAGTTGTCCGTGACCTGGTCACCACTGTTTCTCTCATTTCCCTGTCTGCGACCCCCGACATTGTCTGGCAGCGGCACGGTCCTAAAGGGCTCAGCTCAGATCGGGTAGGATGATTGGGTATCGACGGCTCCATGCTGGGCATCCCTACCGAAACAGCGATATCTGCATCGGAGTATTACTTGTGGACCCTGTCGCTTTGCAAGAGAGGGGGCGGCGCGCGGGCGTCGCGGGGACGCCGCCTATCTTGGTAAGATATTGCAAATCCGTATCTGTTGTCTTGTGAGTGGCTGCCAATTGCCCATATGTTTCACCGAGGTGATATATCGCCTAGGGAGAATCGGAAGTTCAACGCTCAGGCAAGGCAGGGAGGGAAAAGGCCGAACCTTACGTCGTATTTCTCGCATGGCCTGCCAGAAAAGTTATGGGTGAGATGAGATGAGAGGAGATGGCCGAGATGATTGCTCGATAGGTGGGTGAGATCGCCAGATCGATTGTTCATTGCTCTCATTGGAGATGTGAGATTAGGAGATCGATATCTAGATTGATTGGCCCCACAGTGGGGTGTTCAAGAAGGTGACATCCAGTCGAGCCAGCTTTCTGAAAGGGCTATCCGTGGGGCTGTGATGTGGAGAAGTACTCTGTTTGACGTTCAGCAATTGAGGCTTTTGATAGTCTGCTTTGGGTAGTCTTAAGCTTCGACCGTATGGATTGAGACTTGCACAAAGCTCGAAATGGAAATACAGCTGCGCATCCTGCTCTACTAGGCCAGCATGAGAAAGCAGTCAAGCGTTTCTGTTGCTGATCTTGAAAAGCAATTTACCGCCAGAGGGACAGTGCGGCGCAGTGGCTCATTGTAGTACAAATAAGAGCAAATGAATCAAGGAAGAGGCGAGCGAGCAGGGAATTCGTAGGAGGAACGCTCCGAGATGACAAAGTAACAAAGTTTTGGTAGGACGCATGGACACATGCATACATGCAGGCGGGTGGGTATGTTTCCGTTGGATCTGAGATTGCTCATCATTCTTGACCACTTGTGGTTCCGATGCGAATTATACTCCAGGATAGGTATAAGACGGACAAGGAGCGAGGTCGATCAAACAATGGCGCTCCCTGAAAAGAACGCGAGATGGCGTGAGGTGATGCCAGGGTGCTGTATACCCTTGGACTTTTGGGTGGCGATCTCGAGATCGTTTTAAGCAGGGAGTGGACGAGGGTCTCTAGAAGGATTTGCTCAATCTTGACTTGGAACAACATTCGGTATGCGCGTCGTTATCAGATCTGTGGTCTTATGCTGGGGGCTGTGTGGGACCATTATGAAGTGACAGCGGAGTATTCTCATATTGCAACATGGATACAGCTACCAAGAGACGTTGCTCTCCGCTACCGGTAGTCTTGACAGTTAACGTAGTCGCAGAAATCGGTGGTCCTATGTATGGGGCATACGGCAGTTGGGTTATTGCCTGCTCTCGTTGAACTTTCTTGGGCTTGCGTAGTCTGTCTCAATAATAATGTGTTGTGCTTTGGTCCGTTCACAACTGAGCAAGAGCAGACAGAGCCTGGTCGGGGGGACTGAGAGAACGACAGGCCACTTCCTCGACCCTTGTAGGGTTGCAGTGGGGATGTGTCCTTCTTGACAGGGCAGGCCAAGGACTTGCATGTTCCGGAAGCCGGGAGAATCATCGCGCGACCAAAATTCTACAGGGGATAGGATCGTGAGATGGAGAGATTTACGGTTCGACGGTGGATCTGATGCTAGAGTGGAAACTCTGCTGATAGATACTTTGGTACGAGCGACAGCATGGGTTCAAGACTTCACCAAAGTTAGCTACGGTACTGGCGCTTAGATATGTTCGTGATTTTTGACCGGCTCAATATTACCTAAAAGCTGCAGTAGAGAGCAGAAGTGAGCTGGCTGACTATCAGCTTCGTTGTTCAACTGTTCTAGAGCGTGGGGTCATTTCTGCATCGGTTCCTGCCTCAACAGTGCATATATGTTGGCTTTCTACGGAAAGGATAATGTCCATTCCGAGCAAGTAGTATGGCGTCCCGAGTAGAAGGTTCCTGCGGCGGAAATCTGTTCCATCCGTGATGAAATCTCAGGGATCGTGCGGCATCACATCGTGAGGATATGAGGTCCTGATTGAGCCGTGTATGCCCTGCCCTACCGTACCCTCCTGGTCTTTTCCACCTTTGTTTGGTGGACAAGGTACTCGTAGACGAGGCGTTGAAAACCGTACTGGGCCTGTCAGACTGGGATCATGAGGACTGGGGTCAGGGTTCTAGAACGCATATGATCGAGCGATGAGACGCAATCCGTTGGAGTGGTTGATGGGGACATGGGTTGGCATACCTCTCTGCATGCGAGGTGAGAGCGGGCAACTCTGACATTATTATTGTGAAGTAAACGGGTCTATGGAAGGGTTTTGACAGGCGGCCGCTTGTTGCTTCAACAGGCTGCTTGACTTGACATGTTTGAGATGAGAATACTCGCTGGCAGGTCACGGTCGTACCAACGAGTCAGGGCTGTGCAGAAGGGACAAGTTTCTTGACTCCTCATGCGAGCCTCTAACTGGATGTCAACCTCCGAGCTGAAGTTGAGAGGAGTAGTAAAGTGTTGGCTGGATGGCAAGCTGTCGTCTGTGCCGTGCCGAACCGGCATCTGTTCCACGCATGGATGGATGGATGCATGCAGGATGCGAATATATCTTTCTTAGCTAGCGCGCAGCACGGAGCATCTGAGATCGTACGATTATGTGCCGCTAGACTGGGGATATACCTGGAACCTGGTCTGGCATGGGTGTAAAGGGGGGTCACCCAGGGCCCATGACAGAGATCTTCACGCGGGTCTGGCATTATGCTATGGAGATCTTATCTGATACTGGAGCTTTTGCTTGGAGCTGAAAAGTCGTCAAGCTGCAGTAAAAGAAGGAAGAGGGGAAGTCTTTCCAGCTTCGTATTTGCCACTTATTGGCAATAGCAGGAAGTATGTATTGCCCAAGGCGTGATAGCCGTATATCGAAGAGGTGGTAAGCTTGTTAGTCAGTTGTGAAAACCAAAACCAACGGTCGGAGGAATTCACGGATGTCACAGCCGGGTTAGGTCCAACAGTGCTACGGTGTCATCAACCCAGGCCTGGCCTCTGTTCTACCTAATTTACCTACCTAGGTAGGTATTATTGTTGCTGTCTCCACAGGCTCGACTGTCTAGTAAATTATATTTGGAGTCCATGACTCCAATGATCTTGCAAATACAGTAATGGAATGGAACCGTGAGCTACAAAGTGGAGCAGAGCCACCATCAAATAGCAGAGTTTTAGATTCTTTAAAGTTTGGTTGGCAAAAACTCTATCGCCAGATTCGTCCGGCGCTATCTCCTTCGGTTGTTGAAATCGGCGTCCGGGCGTTGGCGGCCGCGTACCAACAATGTGGAGGGCAGGTCCTGATCGGCGTCAAAAGTGGGCGGCTTCTTTACAGAGTAGGTGCTGGGCTGCCTCCGAGCCTGGGATGGGAGCCTTACGGGAGAGAGTGAAACTCTTGATGGAAGAATTCGCTGGTGTGGATGGTTGATGCTTGTTGATATCGATACTTCAAGATGAGATGAGATGATTTTGTTCCGTGCCATGCTTCTGAAGCGTGGATGGATGAACCTCGCTCGCCTCGTTGTTCTCGACTCCCCCAGCGGTCACTATTTACTTAGTGCGAACTTAGTGCTCCTAGCAGAATGTTAAATGAGACGTCTCTGTTTCTTCCGAACCGTTGAAGTCTCAACTTTTGCACTGCATTCATACCGAGGTCTCATCTCAACACTCACTCACTCACATGTAAACTTGACAACAATAAAACTGATAGACATATATGTGTTTCCGAGTTCAATTCATGGTTTGTATATGATTATGATTACTCAAAGTAATATACCCCCCCTCCACCCCAAGGATCCTCATCTCGATCGCCCATCACCTCCGCCGGGCCGCCCATCAAATCGAGAAGATCTCCAGTCCTTTCCAGGGTTGGAAGACGACACCCTGCCCTGGGGACCATGCACCAGTAACAAAACTCGATTCCGATTCCATCTCCTAGCCGGACAAGGTACGTATTATTCGCCCATCTCGGTCCGCCAAAACATCACATCTCGGATACAAGCTCTTGAAAGGGAAAGCTGCGCCGTTTGCTGTCACATATCTTCTAAATGAAATTTCGAAATCTCGGTTCTGAAAAGCCCCCAAAGTCTCAGGATATTGTGACATCGTATGATTTTCTAGACTTGGTCTCACTATTTTCCGTACCACTAGACTAGGTAAGGTAGGTAGACGACACTACTGTAGGAGCGAGCCGGGCTAAGGTAACCGAGCTACCTACCCTACCTTAGTCGCCGTTGAACATTTATTTTATCGCTCCTACAAAAGTAACTATTTTGAATCGGGGAAAGCTGCTTTTATTTTTATTCATCTCCCCGAAAACTCAACACGAGAGCGGTGCAGCTCGAAGTCCTGAATGCGGTAAAGATAAAAAAAAAAAACCCTGAATATGACGTGGTGTGATTCGATATGTGTGATAGCTACCTGTAGGGTTTAGGGTGGGATGATGAGGAGATTGTTGGAGCTGGAGCTGGAGCAGGGTGCACCCATGGACACCGCGTGGTGTGGCACAGGCACTGTGGACTTGACAGCGGCGCCTGCCAGCGGATGGCTGCTTGAGTTTTCCCAGGCTTGGGCTTGGGCTTGGAGTTTCGGGGGGTGGGGTGGGGTTGGTTGGTTCATTATTTGATCGTAAACTTTGCCAGCTCAGCACAGCACAACACAAAACGACACAACACAGCACATCGTAAATTTGAGATCTGAGAGATGAGAGAATAATGAAACGGATGGATTTCAACACTGGTACCGAGGCTGGGGTGGGGGATTATGCGTTCTGGTCTGGTCTGGTCTGTTAGAGATTTATTTACCTATAGGTACGGTGCCGTTTTGAATGTCAAGTGACTGACAGCCTGCAGAAGAGGTAACTCACTACCTAAGAAATGACAACTGACACAGCTGACAGCGGCAGAGCACAGCACAGGACAGCACAAAGCGCTTTCTTGTACACTGCGAGGTTGGATGGCATCCTTTCCCCCTTCCCTCACCTCCACTCTCTTCCTCTCGCCGGGGAGGATATAGTTTGATAAGCAGGCACGGCAGCAACTGGCCCATGCCCATGCCCCCTCGATCTCAGTACGAAGTCATGGAGGACAAGATCATGCAGGGTTGGTTGGCGGGATTAGCAATCCCCCTAGTGGTCTACGTACGAGCTCTGAGATTGAGATCTTGTGGGTGGATCGGAATGTTTTTTTTTATCTGGGACGGACGGGAACGGGTGAGTTCCCAGATCCTACTGGTTATAAACCGGTTTCGTTTTCGTGTGCGTGCTGAATTCCTGGATATTTTTTTTTACTTACCAGATGGTGTGGTGTGGTGGTGTCTTTTGTGTTGTGATCCTATGCGTAAGGTAGCGGGGAAGGGATTAAACTAAACTACAGTGCATGTCTCTCTCTCTCTCTCGGTACCAGACTGTTTTTTGACTGAAGATACCGTTGAAAATGTCTCTCCGGTTTGTCTTAGTCTTAGCTCTTCAGCAGCGTGAGAAGAGTCGGCCGCCGCCCACCTGGAAATGCACTCTACCCACGGCACGTGGGAATGTTACACAAGCCGAATCCTGAAAAGGAGAAGTCATACATGTTATTCAGAACGGCTGGCTGGCTGGAGCTGGAGCTGGAGGGATGCTTCCGGACACCGGTATTTTTGTTTCTCGAACAGATGGGCGTAGGTACATGCCAGGGTTCGAAATTCTGCCTTTGGGTTGTGGATCTGGTTCGGCTTCTGATACCGAGCGAACGAGATTTCGAGAAGAGGTCTGTCTGTCTGCTCTATTATTCTAGCAAGAGTTGGATTCGGAATCCAAAACTCATTCACAGGACACACAGGACCTTTCATCTTGTTGGATTGGACAGGTACAGTACCCCGTAAGTTTTGTTTTCCGAGGAAATCAATCTCCTAACTCGTAATTTTTACATCCCCGAACCAACGGCCCAAAATCAGCAACAAGCGAAGTACGAGGTCTTCCTCTTCATTCGATAAGACCTCCTCAATTCACTCAAGCACTCATATTGTTCATGCCATAGTGTCTGCGCCAGAAAACCACATAGATCAAGTAAGCAACCTACCAACACATATATGAACTGCACTGCACTGCACTGCACTGTCCAGCATTGCATTGCATCGGACCGCATATCTCGGTACCAAGATATGATGTAATATGATATGATACGACAAGCGACCCGTTGCCACCTCATCCCACTGTCGACCAACCGTTGAAAATCTCACCTCGTCTCGTCTCGTCTCGTCTCGTCTCGTCTCGAGAGACAAGCAAGTGATGTGTAAGTGAGTGATATATCTATCACATTTCCCCTCAACTCTTCTCATCTCTTCCGCATCTAGCTTAGCCTAGCCTAGTCCAGTCTCACGAGGAGGGAGCATCAGAAATTCAAATTCAAATTCAAATTCAAAAAAATTCAAAAAAAAAAAATTAACTTGAAACTTCTAAAAGCGGGTTGGAGTTACATTCTTGAAGTTAGGTTCGCTGGTCTGTCCAGGGCTTGGCTTGGGTTGGGTTACATTCGGGGTGGATATACAGGAAATCGAGTCGGGGGTAACGAAAACGGATTTTTTTTTAGATTTTTGGATTTTTTTTTTTTTGGATTTTTTGGGTTTTTTTTGTACGGAGTAAAACTGTACGGGGAACGGGGACGGGGTCTCGTATTATGATTGACGCGCCCGCCCAGGATATTATAGAGTATGCATGTATGAAAGTGGGCTCTGCTCCATCCTGGACCGGGGGAAGGGGGGGTGACATCGTCGCTCGGTTGAAACGTGCCGGTCGAATCGGGTGATATTTTACAGTATGGGCGGAGTTGAGCCGAGGGAGCTTTTGACGATGGTGGATGTGACCCTACACCTGGGATGTGATGGGGTTTCGATGTCGATTTATTTCGGTTTCGGGTCGATTCGATTCGATTCGGGTTTGGAGATGGAGTGGGATGAGTGTATGAGTGTCTGAGTGATCTAGATCTTGGAGATCTGAAATTTGGGAGAGATTGTCGAGTCTGGGGTCATGTAATTTACAGTACAGTACGTTGTGGGATACCGTGCTGTGCTGCTCTAATTCCCTGTAACTATTTACTCGATCGTGTAGGAGGAGGACTACGGTCCAGTTGTTTACAATCTTACCGGTTTGCAAGGCACAGTAATTCGCTCATGGTGATAACATCTACATGCCTCCCGAAAAGGGACACAGTTAGCTAGCTGCGTTCCGTTGGATTGGATTGAGTGAGAAGACGCAACCGGTCAGAAAGAAACTGTCTCAGCAGCCAACCGCTTCTTCTCGGCTGCCGCTGTAGCATTTATGGCGTCGGTCACTTGCGCTTTCCATGTTTTCTGGAGCTTGGAAACTTGGGGAGGACGGAAAGGGAGTGCTTGGCCTGAGAAAGAAAGCCTCTGTAAGAGAGTATTCGGTACTCTCTGGCTGTATAACGCACTTAGACTAGGTAGTTTAGGTAGATGGGTATTGTTAAACATTGACGGAGATCCAAAACGCTCCCAGTTAAACCAAAAACGCCTTCCTTCCTCCTTCGAAGCCAAACCGTAGCGTGGCGCTTCCCTGGCGCTTTGCATGTCCCAAAGCAGCAGCCCAAATGTTGCTTTTTCTTACCTTTCTCGTCTTCTCTTTCCACTTTTCGATCTCGAGCGAGGAAATGTGTGATGCTTTGGGATGCATGCAGATGATGGTGCGGGTGTGTGCGGCGTACGTACTGTACGTTTTGGGACGAGGATGAGGATGAGAGTTGCTGGGGTGGGAGGAAAGGGCTTGGATACGTACTGGGGTCGTGATGTGTGGGGAAGGATCTGGCGAGAGAGGAGCAGGAGAGAGGAGCAGGAGAGAGGAGCAGGGGAGGGGAGGGGAGGGGAAGGGTGTGGTGAGGTGAGCTTGGGCTTGGCTTGGTGTTGGGTCGATGCGAAGATATTGAGACTGAGAAATGCCGGAAAAGTTGTATAGAGATCTAGGAGGAATAGAAGAAGAGTACAGACGAAAATCCGGACTATTGTTCTGTAGAGATATCGTAAATTATAGAAAGTGTTTCTATTGTGAGGATCAGGAGGAGCAAAAACCTTGCACGATGCAGCACTGAGAAATCCCAAGATGCAGTGGAGTACAGAGGGGGTTTGCTGGGGTTGAGTTGGTACGTACCGCATCGCGCTGTGTATCATCTTGCCAACCCTGTCATGCTCATGTACAGCGTGCGTGTGGAGGTACGGACTTGAATAACCTGCCAGACGTTTTGCTCTCCCTCCCCTGCTTGAGCATACATGAGGTTACAACAAGCAGTTTGAGGAATACAGATGCTGTGTCTCATTGTGTCGGGTCAGCATCGCACGACAGACTGGCTGCTTATTGAGAGCTGCGACCTGCGAACTGGAATGACTGATTGACTAGGCAGATATGTTGTGGTACTGAACTTTACTGTACTGTATTTTGGAGGCGGTTGGAGTAAGCCTTGAACGAGGGAGAGGTGGCTATTCGTCGAGCCGGCCTTAGATACCGTATGCATGGAAGGGAAGTGAGATCTGAAAGGGGGGAGGAAAATAGATAGATGCATGACTGTACCTACAGTACTGCATGCCAGATGCGATGCGATGCTGCTTATCTTATTATGGCTGCTTATGGATGAGCTGCATTGCATGCCTGGGGTGATGAGAGGGTGGGGGGGGGGGGGGGGGGGGGGCCGGGGGGGGTTATTATTACTGTGAAGCAGCAGGAGGAGAAGCAGGAGTAGGTAGGTAAGAATTTGAAGGGAGATGGTATTGTGTCGAGTTGAAACTCAGGATGACTGTACAGTAGCAATGGCAGACGTGACATGACATGACAGACTTTTATGATGAGAATAAGAATAAGAATAAGCATGTGGCAGTTTCCTCAAAGTCCTGTCTCGTTTCAAGAAGAGTCATTGCCATCTAGCAAGGACCCTCCTCGCCTGTCTTAGGAAGAAACATGACGAGGAACCTCCTGCCCTGGAATCTCGGCGATGCGAGAAAGTAGATAGATATGATGAAGTCAGATTCTTACGGAAAAATGTAGAATTTTTGATCCTTGATACATGGAGAGATAAGTAGACGAGACAGATGCAGATTAAAGACTGTTTCTCGCAACGGGGAAGCATGCGATGTGATGTGGAAGCAGAAGCAGGGAGAGAACAATGGGTGGGTCGCGTATTGGGTTTTAGGACAAAACGTCAGGGCAGATTAGATGTGATGTGATGGGGTTTCAGGACTTTGTTCATCTATTGAAACCAAGACAGTAAGTAGGTAAGAATCGAATCTCGTGAACCATAGTAATTCAACAATACGTCTTCTCTTCAATCGTGCTTGTATCAATCTAGTCCTCTCATCTCGAACGTCGTCAAACCTCCAGCTTCAATGAGGTCACTCACTCACAAGTCACAACCCTTCCCTTCCCTACCTTACCTTAACCCTACCTAGGCAAATTTTATCTTCCACACTACTGTACTACCAACTAGCAACCCTCACACTACGGCAAAGATTTCCCCATTTCTCAGCGCCTCGCCCACCTGCATCGATCGGACCATAATCCAGTATTTGATGGCTTGCGCCTACCCAACTCTAACCTTGATTCTCTATCCCTCTTTGAGTTTAGGTAGGGAGCGCGTGGAGCTACTACTGTACTGTAGATTGCTAGCGCACGATCCATCGGCTTGAGATCGTCCCTTGTTAAGTTGTGCTGCGATGCGCGGCCGCCGCTGCGAGTAGTGGGTAGTACAGTAGTTAAGACAGAGAGAGACCCTGAAGTTACCTAAGTTAGGCTAGGTGGGCTAGGTGGGCTAGGTGGGTGGAGTGGAGTGGAGTGGGCCCGCTGATACCACGCGCTCTGGATGGTGGTAGGCGCTAGTGTTGGGTACTGTAGTGTCACTAGAGTACTGTAAATTTGATGATGATGAAGACGGAATTATTGAGATGAGAGTAGTCTGGATTCGGGGTTTTGGAGACTGTAGAGTTTGTGTGCTTCTAGTTAGGTAGTTGTGGGGAGAGGAGAGTTTTGTTTTGGATGAATTGGGACAAGAACTGATCCTCGTGTATGGACCTGAGCTTGGTACTTTCGTACATTACGAAAGGGAAATGTAGGTATTCTTCTTGATGTCCGGTTGCAGCTGCCAAGGTAAATTTATCAGGTCATTTTCTGAGTTGGTAAAATTTACAGAATAATGAACCCCCTGTAAACACACCATACCACGCCCACGCCCAAGCTTCTTCCCCCGTCTCCTCCACCCATCATCCCTGGAGATTCTCGACCCTGTTTCTTACTTAGGTAATTTAGGTACTGTAAATTTACGGAGTCGATCGCATCTCCTCTCCTAGCCCTAGCCTGTCCTGTCCTGTCCTGTCCTGTCCTGTCCTGTCCTGTCCTCGAATTTCTAACACTGGCCCCCTTGTGCCCTGCCCTGGTAAGTTGTAACATCGCATCGGGTCGCTGTTGTCTGCGCTTGGAGGCATTATTTTTTGGTTTCGGCTTGGGTGACAGACAGGACGGACGACCGACGCACAGGGCAGGAAAAGGACATTGAGGTCGACCAGAGAGGAGCGACAACGGCAGGGCGGCGGGGAGGAGAAGGGAAAAGAAGTGCGCATGGCATGGAATGGAAAAAGTTTAAAATCGAGATCGGATCTGGGAATCTGGATCGAATCTTGGAGAGATGCATACCTCCGTATGGATGGATGCTTCATTGAAGATGGCTTAGAGAGAACATCCTCGCTTGATGGAGGGGGTTTATGGGAATGACTGGGAAGCTGTGTCAATGTTTTTTTTTCTACAAAGGAAGATGGAAGCCCTCAAAAAGTCTGTTACAGAACACTGATGTGTTTAGGTATTTCACAATCGAGAGGTTACCCAATGCCGAGAACTCTATTACCGAACACACGCAAAGGACCCTGAAAGCATACCTTAGGTATCGACACGAACAGCATCGCGATTAAGTACAGCCGTCACAGATGCCGAACTGGTGAGAAATTGGAAGCCCTTGTTTATGTTTCGTTTCAAAACGTTCGATTCCTGGGTACCCAAGGTAATTCAAATCTACCTACCCAGATATGCCACCGCATCTGCCCTGTGACAGATATTAATATTCCGTGTTCATTAATTCCTTCCTGCCTTACCTTACCACCACCACGACAATGCTGCCCTAAGCCATAACTACCGCGTACGTATGCCTCGCTGACTTCTCAGTTGCGAGCCGTCACTCTTGGCCTTGCGATCCCACACCCCTTCTGATCCCCCCCCCCCCCCGCCCCCCCCCCCCCATCTGCATCGAATCGTCCCTCATCCCTACCTTACCTGGCCCTACCTAATGACCTTCCCAGGCTACCTAGTACCCACCCCACCCAAACCAAACCCCAAGCCCAAAACCCGAAAGCCCAGATTTACCTTCGCAGCGTATGCCCCCCCTCTCTCCCACTCTACTACTAGTAGTAAATAAATTACTACTCCTGTACCATGTCTGCATGTCCATCCGCATCCACATCGACATCCACATCCACAGACCATGCAGCAGTCAGTAAAGTAAATGTACCACACCGGAGATTTCAGAGGTATCCACTCGTACCCTACCCTACCCTACCCTACCCTACCCTACCCTACCCCAGTAATGAATACCCACCCAGCCCACACCAAACCTGCATCCATGATCCATCGCAATGTAGAGTTCAGTCCGTCCATCGGGCTAGCATCCACCCAAACCTTTGCGCCCCTGCGAATCTTGCCAACCCCTGCTAACTCCCTACAGTACTGCCCGCCCCCCGAGTCCTTGCTTCCCCCCTGGCAAGCCCACTGCCCACTGCCCACTGCCCAGTGCTCATCCCAGGCGCCCCTGCCCTTCCCCGTCAGCCCGTCCAGCGCTCGTGCGAACCATCCATCATAGATATCGACGGCTTCGACGGATTCGACGCCGCCGCCTACCCTATCTACTAAATTACCTACCTACGAGACCTTAGCACATCCACTGCTCGTGGCCGCCCTCTTCCACCCCCCCTCGAACCAACTATCAACACCACTGCACTGCACTGCACTGCACTGCACTGCACTGCACTGCGTCAACACTAACTCCTCACTACCACCGGATTCCGCCATCCGCGCCTGTCATAGATCAGTCAAATCATCAAACAGATATCTCGATCTCGCCTTGTCTCGACCGCCAAAACTCTAAATTGCCGCCTCCTTTCCTTGTTCTGCTCCTTCACCTCGGCCGGCTTCTTCCCCCCCAGATCCAGATCACGCAAGAGCAATTGAAGTCACCGAAGGGAAAACTCTACATCAGAGGCGCCTCTTTCCAGGGATCGAACACTCGTTTCTATTACACAACTCCAGTGCTGTCTGTGCTATTCTTTGCAGCAAGCAACATCCAATATCAACATCTACACTGCACCAACGCCAAACGACAACTCTCAAACTATCCTGCATCGAGAAAAGCCCTCCGTATTCTAAGCTGCATCCATTGGACCCTTCGTTTCCCTTACCACGCAGCTAGAATTCCAGCTAGTAGACTTCCCGAAAGTCTCAATCTTCAACCCTCGCCACTCCACTCCACTCCCCCTTCATCTCCTCTCCATCTTTTGAACCAGCTCTGCATTGCTGTCACATCTCTAAGACATCGCCAGCGGCCAATACCTTGAGACAGCCTCGACATCACCTCCAAATCGAGTCGAAGATCTCCTTCGCCCTCCCGTGCATGCAAAGCAGCCAGTCGGTGACTGCGGGAAGTGCCTTAGCGAATCCAGCGCCTCGTATCTGGATCGCATCTGATCTCGGTCATATCTGCCCAAGGCTGGCGCGCAGTAGATCCAGCAAGTTCAGTAGACGAAGAAGGGACGACGCCACTGTTCTATATTTTTAGGAGTTGTGTCTTGGAAGAAAGCCAGCAACGAAACCACCAACCAACCAACCATCCCGCGCGCAGATCCTGCTTTCTTCTGGTTGACTTGACAATCAAATATTTCGAGTCCTCAAGTCTCATCTGCTCCCTTACGCCTCGACGGTCCAGGTGCTCAGTCCAGAAGTCATAACCGCTCTGCATTCCAGTCCGAGACCACCACACACTACCACCACACCTTGCACGACCAAGGAGCATACTCCGATACTCGAGCTGAGGGGCCAGTTGCAGATGTTTGGGTGTGAATTGGTGTAACGGGAACACGCATCGGGAACGGCAGCAGCACGATATTATCTGCCGCACACGCACGTTTCCCGAACCTCTCATCTGAGGTCCCTTTTTTTCTCTCTTCGGATCTTGTAATGGAGAAATTGGACGGAAGCACCAGACAAAGGTAAGCCGGCACTTCTGTCCCCATAATTGTGGACGATGGGCATCGGTTCTAATATTTAATTTGCAGTGCCATACACTCGATCATTAATCGGGAGAAAGTCGAATACAACAACGATCGTCCTTATTCTACTACCTCAACAATGGCTGCTGCAGTAGCCAGTCCTGCCTCGATGTATTCTCAACCCCCTCCTCCGTACACATGGGGTGGACCAGGACCCTCCATGTCGGGCATGATCTCCCCTCCAGAATCACGACGGACTTCAGACAACAAGACAGAACCACCGCCTCCCATACAGACCTCACAACCACATAGACAATCGCTACCTTCTTTACACGAAGCCCTGACCGGTGGACCCAAACCAAGTCAATATAACTCTCCTATATCTGCAATTTCCCAATCACAGCAATTGCCGTATTCACAACAGCAACAGCAACCGCAACAGATACCCCGATCTTTCCCCCCACCAGAACATTCTCAATATCCACCACAAGCCCCCCCTCAACCAAGACAGCCGTCTCCACCTCAACCAGTCCATCCACAATCAAATCCATTCTCACGACCTGAACCAGGCCCAAATCCTTTCTCAGAACCCCCCAGACATCCATCAGTGACAGCTCTTCAAAATGCCCCGGCTCCCCACAATCCATATGCCCCGCGATTCGAACCTGGAAGATATGAGCAAGATCCAAGAAGCCAGGAACGACCACCGAATGGATATCAACAGCAACCTCCTCCTCCTCCACAACCCTACAGTTATGGACCTGGGCCTGGACATGCTCAACCAGCAGGACCTCAACCAGTATTCACTCAACCTCGTTATGTATCCCAACATCCTCGTGAGATCAAGGACTCGTGGCCGCCGCAAGACAAACCCGAGGTATTCAGAGAAGGCTTGAAGAGACATCTAGAGGTGTATGATTTTGAGAACAGTTTGGCTCGGGTATGTCGTCTTCACAGGTAGATGACCCTAAAACTAACTCTCTCAGATCAACAAGACAAGTGGAATCATCCAAAACTGGTCAGCTCACTACAATGCCATCGCACAAGAACAGCAACAATCCGTCAACATCATCCCAGATCGAATGCCAACCTTGGACTCCGTGGATGAGATGATCCGTCACAACGAATCTATCACCAACCTGCTCCAAGAGATGAAGGCAATGATCTACGAACAAGCTCAGCACACTGCCCATCAACGCATGCGTGAGCAGGGTGGTAGAGGCCCAGGTGACTACGACGAGGATGGCATGTACGATGACATGAAGAGCCATAATGGGTACGGCCCGGAGAGTAAGAAGCGACGAGGGGTAGGTCCGAACCATATTTTCTCACCCCAAGAAAACAGCCATTAGAGAATCTTAACTAACTTATTTTCCAGAGAGCCGCACCCCCTGGTCGCTGTCATAGCTGTAATCGAGCGGAAACTCCAGAATGGAGACGTGGCCCAGATGGTGCTAGGACGTTGTGCAACGCATGTGGACTGCACTACGCGAAATTGACGAGGAAGAACACGATGAAGAACTCGCAGGGCTCGAATGGGAATCAGTTGAGGCCATTGAGTAAGGATGGACTTTCGCCAAGGCCGATGTGAGAGTGTCGAGAATGATTTGAAAAGAGAAAGAGATCTGTATAAATATACCCAGCCGCCACTAACTCAGCCCTCCTATGGGAATCATCTGGTCCCGGTAGCAGCACACACGATTGAAGTAAAGAGGTCAAAAAGGAAACGAAGAGAGTCATGGATTTCGCCTGGCTTTGTGATATTAGAAGAGAGAGACTGGACAGGCTCCGCCTATCAGGGTGTAAGAACAAAAACTTCTTTTCTTCAACGGCGGCGGCGGCAACATACTTTTTCACAACATCTGGGGTTGTCCGATATTGTTATCAGGACAATGACATACAGACAGATATATCATGCCTCTATTAGGAGGTCGCGGGGCATACGATCAAGCGGCATTTTGGCATGCGTGCATTTGGGTTTCGACCGGCTGGCGTTTTGATTTATTTTTTGGGGAACGGAACGGATCTGGGATCGGGTTTGGAATTGGAATTGAACTGGAATTTGGCTGGGACGGGCGGACGGACGGACGGACGGACTGGGACCAGACAGACAGATTCATATAAACGGGTTTCTGATCCTGGAACTGGTACGGGTCTATTTTCCTCTCTGGGTTCAGGACTGGGGATTCGGTTTGGTTCGGTTCGGGGGCCTGGACCGGATGTATCTGGGAACAACTTTTTCTGAAGGGAGTGAGTTACTTGGTGTGGGTGTGGGGTGGTTTTGCATGTCTGGAGTTCTTTTGGTGTGGGCTTTCGGAGAGCTTGGAAATGCGGAGATATACGCCATAGAAGGAAGGGTTGGGTTGGTAGTGGATAACTCTTTTGTTTGATTTGGTTGTTTTTGGACTGACTGGCTGGCTGGCTGGTTGTGAGAAAGGAAAGGGCTGGAGATTATATTTTTCGGAGAGGGGAGAGAGAGAGATTAGGGGAAGGAAGTTGAGATGGGGCCATCGACGGAAATCAATCTGGATGGTCTTAGACGGACGGACTGACGCACTGCGAGAGGAAGAATTGATGGATGGATGGATGGATGGATGGATGGATGGATGGAGATGAGAGCTGAGCCTTCGAGCTCTCAAGATACAGCCGTAGCGGGAAACCAAGGGAACCAATCCCGGGTGAGAATGGGAGGGGAGAGGAGAGGAAGAAGAGAAGATACCAGGGAATGAGAGGAGAGAAAGCCAGAAAGCCAGAAAGCCAGAAAGCCAGAAAGCCAGAAAGCCAGAAAGCCAGAAAGCCAGAAAGCCAGAAAGCCAGAAAGCTAGAAAGCTAGCAGGTCCGGAGTCACAGAAGCAATACAGAGAAATAAGCAATCAATCAAATCAATCAATCAATTAATCAAAATACACAAGTACAAGTTCAAATACATATAAACCTGTCTCGCCTTGTTATAATGCTTTGTTTAATTCACTTTACTTTAGTTGCAAACGGGGATGAGTATATATGTAGCTTCCTTTAAATCCACTTTTTATTTTATAGTTTTTTTGGATTTTTGGATTTTTGGATTTTCTTTCACTTCGTCCTTCTTCTTCTTCTTCTATCTTTTTACTTCTTATAAAGTTTCGTTTTTTTCTTTTTCTTTCTCTTTTCTCTTTTCTCTTATTAGCCTTTCTATTCTATTCTATCTTATTCTATTTTATCGTATTGTTGTTGTTAATAAGTAGAGAGAGGTAGGTAGATAGGTAGCTAGGTAGGTAAGTAGTTAGTTAGGTACAGTAGAGAGGGAAGCCTCGTCATCTCTGTCTATATCTATATCTATATCTATATCTACATCTACGACCATTGTCTTGTTGTGCCGTGAATGATAGGCAGACAGACAGACCTACCTACCTACCTGCCTATCACTAGGAAAAGGGATTTAACAAACAACGTGGCTGAAATGATTTTTGTTTGAGTTTTGAGTTTGAGTTGAATTTATTGATTGATTGATATTAGATGGACTCTTCTTTAACTTCAACTTCAACTTCAACTTCAACTTCCACTTCCCTTCGTTTTTGGGGCTTTACTTAGCTAGCTAGGTAGGTAGGTAGTTGAATATATGAGACGGATAGATAGATAGCTGGATAGATAAATGAATATGAAGGGTAGGGTAGGGTGGCTAGCTAGCTAGGTAGCTAGATACTATATATACACTACATTATCCATGCATGCATGCATGCCTTCTCTCTCTTGTCTTTCTATCCTTTCCTTCCTTCCTTCCTTCTTCTTGTCACTATTTCGAAGTGGGTTGCGTGGCTGGCTGGCTGGCTGGTTGGCTGGGCTTGAGGAGGATGATGATGATGATGATGAGTAGTGAGACAGAAATGGAAATGGAAATGGAAGCTTGTATGCGATGTAAGGAAGCTGGTCTAGAAGGAAAGAAGGAAAGAAGGAAGTATGAAAGGATTGAAAGGAGGGAGGGAGTAGGCGTATCGCATTGCATTGCGTAGCATTGCATTGCATGTGGCAACATCTGGCAGCAAGAAAAAGAAAGGAAGATAGAAAGTGCCAAGTGAGGAGGAGAAAAAGAAGCTAGGGAGATAGGGAGATGTGGAGTCGGGGTGGGATGGGATGGGATGGGGTTATTGGATTTCAAGAAGTGCAAGGACAGGAGTGGCTGGATACTGATTTGAAACTAGGAGCTTTGGTGAGAACAAATATCGTATTAGTATATCAGTGATTGCTTGATAGAGTATTGTTCCAACTTCGGATATTTCTTCTCTAGAATATCTCGGAGAGTCGGAGGAGAGACGTGTATTGATAACTTTGATACTTGATCATTGAGCCCCACGACCACCCTATGTCAGGTCAGCATCGCGGTCTGATTACCTCAAAAAGTAAAGGCGGCGTTTTCTCTGTACCGGTTACCAGGTCTGAAGAAGCATATGTGGAAGTATGAAACGGTTAGTCAAAGTCGTACAAAATACGTGCCAATATGCCCCAAATGGGCACTAGATACAAAGGCTGGGAGTTAGAGAAGTGCAAATATGCAAGATCGTGTGTATCAGACCAAGTGGCGATTTGGGGCTGTTGATCCGTGGGGTGTGGAATGAATAGCACGTGTGTCTTGTCTTGTCTTGTCTTGTCTTGTCTTGTCTTGTCTTGTCTTGTCTTGTCTTGTCTTGTCTTGTCTCGGAATGAGATGCAGATTGAGATAAGATGCTGTTGATGTCTTGCCTCATGTTTAATTACATTCTCAGAGAAAGCTAACTGTCTGAATCCCATCAGAGAGGTAGTAAGGAGATGCGCTAGGAACAGTGAACTGTCTCGCCTTGACTTTAAGGCCTCGAATAGTCTCGAAGGCATCCTTATCTTCCTGTCTCGTCTCGTCTCGTCTCGTCTCATGAAGTCTCGGTACTAGGAAAGACAGTTGAGGGAGGGAATGTACTCTGGTAAACTCGCTTACGAGAAGTGGAAGAAGAAAATGTGATGAGTCTCAGACATGTCGAAAACCCGGATTCCGGAGGTTTTTCCTAGTGTATCTGCCTCGTGATTTTCTTTCTCATCTCTTCTAGTGACTGAGACATGATTTACTTTTCCTAGAAATGATGGACGAAGAGATCCAACGCTGAAGGTAGTGGGTACCGAGCACATACGAACACGCGAACATGTCTCAGATGGAGAAGGACAAGTGAGATCGGATCTCGATAGCGGAATGTGACTTGTCTCTTTTCCGGGTGTGAGAACGAGTTGCTAGGTTTTGTTATTCCGTATATATGCTTTCTTGATTGGGTAAAGTTGAGTTTAATTCCACGTGCCAGACTTGAGTGGTGTCGTTTAGTGTAAGTAGGGAGAAGCGCGGGGGGCCAGTACATTGCTTTATGATTTAGTTCATGGAATCGGAGCTCTTAACTTCTTTAGGAACCAATGAGGGCTGCACGGATCGGGTCGAATCTGCGAGTGCACCGTTAGTTATCGTCAAGTGACGATCTAGTCACGTATCTCATCTGCGGTTAGCTTTAGCCTCAAACATGACGAAGAAAAAAGCAAATACTCAGCTCCTATCTGCCCTACCTTACTAGTCAGATCTCATCAACTCGATCACACTTACATCAAGCTGCAGTTCACCAACCTAAATTCCTCCCTGACTTGCCTTCGCTTAACTCCCAGTTCTGCCCAAAGCCACCACGAACACGTTCATCCCCCTTACTTCCACATCACCAGCTCAATCTGCGATACCCGTATCTACGATAATTCTCCGTCCTCCCACACCCAAGCCAAACAGCCAAGCATATCAATCCTACTGGTGCAACCCCAGGTCTCATCTCCACGCATCTTGCACGCCAGATATCCAATCGTCCTAGACTAAACGATCAGTCACATCTCACATCTTACAATCCCAACCAACACACAATCCTGATCTCGATCTCGTTGGCTTCCCGTTTCCCGATCGACCAACATACCCGTTCGCATCCTCCCTCGTGAGTGGACTTCTGGGCCCCGCGTATGCTGGGAGCTCACTCATGTTTCTACCCGATAACCCGGAAATATGTACTGCAATGACTACACTGTTACACAGCATGAGATTGAGGTTGTACCATTTGCTTGGGTATTGAACGAGGAGTCGCTCTCGCAAGCGAGGAGGTGGTGTTGATAGGAGAGAAGTGCAATGAGGCTTGAATACCTTGCTTGCTTCCTGGCAGTCGGGGTAGCTTTTCGGTGAGTGAGGAGACGGGGAACCAACCGATGAGAAGCGGGAAGTGAAGCTTTTAGAGAGCAACGTGTGTTCACCCGACCAAAGACCCAGACTTGCGCAGTACCCTTGATTCCTTGTAAATCGATAGACCGAAACGAGGTCTCATGCCTCCGTCCCGTTACCTCTCCGAGAGTAACCTCGTGATCCAACCGCGCATCTGCAAGCTTGCGTAGGAGGTGGTAGTACGTCACATATCATACATATATGCAGACATATCCATGGATCATCGTCCTACAAGAGCGGTTGCATCTGCATATACACGAAGCGGGTCTGTCGACACACACAGCTTTCACGAACATCGTTACAGGCCTTCGACTGTGAGTGGTTGAAGCGAACTGTTGTAAGCGAGGAGTCGAAACTCACAGAGCACAAAGTCGATCATGCAAGCACCTCACGTCAGGTCGCTTCCTTGTTTCCGTGTACCAAGCGTTCTGTACGATGCCGCCTCGGGTCGCCTTGCTTCCTGTCGATGCTGAGGCCGACGGAGGTACCATCACGGTTGCTTGCGTGTAGAATGCATGGTGGGAGGTATTCGTTGGCTCCCAACTTCTTGGTTGTGGCACCGAGGCACGGTTGATTGCTGCAGCTGGGTTATGTTAGGCTTATCTTTGGCCATTGTGTGAGACTGTGAGTATTTGGTCGTAAAGAAGGGCATTGAAGAGAATGAGGGCATTTGTATGCCACTTCCGATGATTTCGGAAAGGGCGAGGGTGCGATAGGACGAAATCGGAACAGGTTGGGAAAGAGGAGATGACAACGGAATGGATTACCTGGTGGAATGAACTTTGAAACATCTTCCAATCTATCAAGATAAAGCTTTGTGAAGTTCAAGTACGCACTGTTTTGAATTCCTCGACAAGTGATGAGGAGGAGCGTCCGGGTCGATGAATACGTGGTGATGTACTTGTCATCCATAGTGTCATCTGTTGTTGGAATCAACAGATCGCTCATCTCATTGTAGTGCTGTTGAATCATGACTTGCATCTGAATACGATTTAAGAATTTCAATATCGTCTGGTGTTGATCATCCAAATGAAAATAAGCTCAAGTACTTAGACACCGCTCAGAAATATAAGACCAGTTCACGACCAATTCAACATTCGGAATTAAAATCAACCTAAATACCTAAACGTCCACGGCAAGAAATGAAATAGCAACCCCGTAAACAGAAACAATGGCGCTTCCCATGGAAACGGTACATCCTTTGCCGTCGGACTGACAGCAACTCCCTTTCCAATCCACCTCCCCTTCTCATCCTCAGCAACTTCCAACATCCCCGCCGCAAGATCCAAAAACGACAAAGGCATCTCTGCCTTCTCTAAGCTCAAATAATGTCCTTTCTGAGCATCATGTGCCAGAGCTCCCGGTCTAACGAATGTCGCTCTGACGAGCGATTCGTTTTCCTTTGATAGGAGGAACTTCTCCGCGACGCGTAAGTCGTCGTAGATGTATGAGTTGGCGCGGTAGAGGATGTTGAGGATGATACCTGGAGTGCTGGACATGAGCCCGTGGTCTAGAGAAGCTGAAGACAGGACGACTAGCTTCGGAAGTTTCTCATCGGCATTTTGTTTCCTGAGGAGTGATAATGCCGATACGACTGCATGAGAGGTTTCTTGTGCGATGGAACAGCCTGGTTTGTTTTTTTTACTTCTGCTACGGCCAGGAAAGCGGCGTCGGCTCCCTTGAGACAATTCGCTAAGAGTGAAGTGTCTTGGAGGGAACCTTCGAAAATCTCGACTTGTTTGTTGGATGCGATTGAAGGGGAGAGCTTCTTGAATTTTTGAAAGGAGCGGCAGTACGCGTGGATTTTGTTGGTGGGCGATTGGAGGATAACGTCGAGGAGTGATTGTCCCACGCTGCCTGTTGAGCCTAGAACTGCGTAAGTAGGCATTTTGGCAGAGTTTGACAGGACAAAATTCATTTTGTAAATGGAAATGTTGACGGTGGACTTGAACTATTTTATAAATTCTTATGATCGCATTTGCGACAACATCAACTGTTCACTCATCGGAGATTCAAAATTGTCATTGATGTATGTCAAGATTCGTGAACGATTTTTGGAGTACGTACAAAGCTCGGAATACTAAACAGTTAGCTAGAGACGATGCCTACGGTCAAGTCTGTCAGAGGCTGGAAAGAACCCTGAAATCCCTTACGTCGTCTTGTCATCCAATCGACTATGGTATTGTTAGCTCTGTCGATGACGATGACAGAGATGATCTCTGAGCTAACCATGCCCAGATATAGTCACTTCGAAGCGAGTCTTGGCGAGACGGGATCCTCATAGTAAATAAACCCCTTGCCCCTCCTCATCAAAAGCCCCAATCATGCCTACAACTCTCCTAGAAGAAAGTAAATTATATCAACACGAATCCATAGCACATTAGTTAGGACCATTATGGATATTCTTTTCAACCCAACATTCCTGAAAGTCTTTGCGACATTCAACACCATTTACCTCGCCGCTCTAGCAGGTGCCGCACATGGCATGTACATATTCAGCATCCCAATTATTGAAAACAGCGATTCATCTATGAACATGCTCCGTCAATTCCACCAACTTATCACTCTTGGAGCAAAATACATGCAAGGCAGTAGCCGGATCCAGGGAGCTTCCCTGGCTCTGCTTACCTATCTGCTTTATGCACATCCCGACGAGGATATCGACGCCAGGTGGACGTGGTTTGGTGCTGCGTTAGTATTGGGTGCACAGGTTGCGTGGTATGAATTCGTTTTTATTTTCCCGACGAATGATAGGTTGGTGGAGATGGAGAGGGACAGAGGTCCCAATAAGTCAGCCGGCTTATAAGCTAGCTAATCAGCTGGCTTAAACTTATAAGTCAGTCAGCTAGCGTTTTTTTCTAAGCTAATCAGCGTCTATATTCTCAGCTGATTAGCGGCTTATAAGCTAGAGGTACTTCTATTAGTGATTTTAGAGTTATTTTAGTAAGGGTTTTAGTGTTCTTTTAATACTTAACTTAGCGATATTTAAGGTCCCGGAGCGGGAAAACTACCTCTAATAGGCTAAAATTAGGCGGTAAAGAGCAGTAAGATAATAATAATCTGTATTATAAATATTGAACTCTTATAATATCTCTTTAATTCTATTGAAATCAGCTTTAACATTATATCTTAACGAACCTCACTTATTATAGTTAACGATACTGCCTCTTAAGGCTTTATAGCACTATCTGCACTCTCTAAAACTAGTATTTTTAGCTGTATAATAAGTAATTCCTGTATAATATCTTCTCTCGCACTAAAGCCTCTTAAAACACTCCGTGATACCTATTAAGGACCTGCAGTGATATATAATAAGTTCTATAACTCTTTTTAACTTTAACGCCTTAATCTACTATCTGATTACTCTCTCTATGTCTATAGTCAGCTTTTATATAATAATCAAGAGGTTAATATAAAGAAATTACCTTATAAGAAGAGCTTAAGTCTTATAACAAAGAAACTAAAGCGTTCCTAAGTCTAAGAGCTTAGATATAATCTTATTAATCTCACAGATATTAAAAAGCCTTAATTTTAGGCTTATAAACGCTATAAGTAAGATCGTTAAGAGGCTATCTATACTAATAATATCAAGTCACTATAACTAGCAGTTTTCTCAATATAAAGAATACGTCTTTAATAGTAATAGCCTTAAGAATATAAAGAAACACCTATTATAAATACACTACCTGAACGCTAAAGGAGATATATAGCGAATAAAGGCTTCAGCTTAACCTATATAACCCTTAAGCTACGTAAATAGTAATCCTTACTTATAAATCCTATTCCGATAAAAGGAGTTTAAGAACGCGTTTCTTAAATAAGTTATCTTAAATAACGTAAAAGTATAGAAAGCTATGTTAAAAAACCTTAAAAGGATATTCCGGATTGTAAACTAAGACGTTCTTAACGCGTTACTAGCTTTAAGCTTAACTATAGCCTCTTAGATTAATTAAATATTTAAGTATTTTAAACTACAGCTAATTATAGAGGTTCAGAATACTTAATTAAGAGTATATATAATATTTAATAGATAGGGTTTAAAGAGAGAGAAGATTAGTCTTATTATTATAGTCCTTTACTTTATTAATAGTAAAAGTGATCTTATAACGTGTCTCACTAGCCTCCTAGAGCTCTCTAGCTATAGGAAAATAGGTATAGGTATATTTTATTAATATCCCGCGTATTTATACTAACTTTTAATAGAATAGTATTATCGTGTACTGTAGGAAGGAGCTTTATATAGTGTGAAAGTCTTGATTTATTAAGGTATTCTAAAGCTCTCTTATAAAAGGAAGCTTTAAGAGTTTTAGTTACATAAGTAGCCTTTAGTTAGCTAAAGCGCCTTAAAGAGTGCCTTAAGTGTGTTAAGTATATAATATACTTTTTCACTTAGTTTTATAATAGTAAACAAAGCGATATAAATAGTGTAGATAATACTACTTAAATTATAATAAGAGTTAATATTAACTAATAGTATTAAGTCTTAAGCGCTTGGTAGCTTTAAATATATAAACTAGGTAAGTCTTTTTAAACGTTTTTTTCTTAAATAATAACTTTAACATAATATTAGTAAATATAGTTAAAAGCTTTTATACTACTTGTACCTTATATACTTTTAACCTTACTATTATTTATATAGTAAAGAAAAAGACTATAAGTTATTAATTTAAAGATTTTAATATAGTTAACATTATAAAGAATTATTAAAACTACGCTAATACTTGTAAAATAAGCCTGTAACTACTACAGCTCCCTTACTACTATTACTTCACTATTATTACTATTACTATCACTACTATTAATATTAGTACTAACTTTTACCTACTATCTTATTATAGTAAAGGCTATCTGTGCTATACTTTACAGTTACTGTATTTACAGTAGTTTACAGGGTGTGTTAAGCAACCCTTATTACAATGAAAAGATAGCTTTACGTTGTTTTTATTATTATAAAAACAATAAATCAGGTTATATCGCCGCTCTTATTTACACTGTTAAACTCTTTGCCGGCTACTTAGTAGCCTAGGCCCTTTTAAAAGGCATATATATAAGTGTTTCCTTATATTATAGTGTTAAAACAATAAAGTATTAAAGTATTAATATTAAAGTGTTAAGTAAGGCTGACTTTATAATATATATAAGCTTTTACAGTCTGTTAGGTTACTATTTAAAAAGCCTTAAAAGTCGAGAAAGACAAAGATAAAGATAAGGATAAAATCTATACTACTATCTATAAGTTATAATAGTAGTCTTATAGATTTTAGATATTATCTAACTATTAATATTAACTACTACTTTTACTTTTACCTTTACTTTTTATAAAGAGACTGCTATTCTTTTCTTTTACTTTGTTTTTAGCGTTATAAGAATAAGCTCTAGCTTTATAAGAGCTACTATCGTCGCCTTTATAGCGCGTTTAGCCTTACGTGCCTTTACTTTAGTAAAGGTTGATATTATAGCTAGCGTTATTTAGTAGTTAATTAATTTTCTCCTCTCTTTTTAATTAGTAGTATAGGCTTTATAACCTTTAAGTAGTAACTTAAAAACGTTACCTTTTTATTATTATAGTTTAGGCTAGCGTATTAGTGTAGCTTTATAACTTAAAAGTTATAGCTTAAGATTAAGTCTCTTACTCTTTATATTATTTTAGCGTGGCTTTACAACCTTAAAGTAGCAGCTTAAGATTAAGTCTTATAATTTTACTTTTTTTCTTCTCTTTAATAACGTTTAAGAACTGTAAATATAAAGTAAAAGAAACGTAATAAAAGAAAGTGTCTATATAGATTATATAGCTTAAGCGAGCTTTTTGATATTAGCTTAAAAGTCTTAAAGGTTTAAAAGAGTAATAAATACTTTAAACTTTTATTTTAGTAAGTTTTTAGTTAAGCTATTAGCTAGCATATCGTTTATTAAGAGATACGTTACTTAAAAACTCCCCTTTTTATACTTCTATTATAACTATATATTCTATATATTAACGTATTAAAGCTTTATTAAGATTTACTAGTTCTCTTTAACTATTAGTTAAATCGTCTGTTTATTATCGTAGAATATATTTCATAGAGCTCTTATATTAAGCTTTAGCTTTTTAAAGAACCTTTAAAGCGCTATTACCTCTTTAGTAGTCTGTTTTATACTAAGAAGCTTTACTTTAGTCGTTAAAGTAATAATAGTATCTTATTAAGAGGCTTTCTAAATAATAACTCCTTTAAATAGTATAATCAGGAATCTTTAAGAAGAATAACGCGATTCAGCGTTATCTATAAAAGACACGTTTAAGGTAATAAAAAAGTGTGTCTCTTTGTTTTTTTAACTATAAATAATAGCTAGAAATCTTAGGCTAAACAGATATCGTATAGTTTAATTAACTGCCTTTAAGTATAGCGCGTTTAAGTTAGTAAGGAAGTATAACAGTTAAGAGGTTATAAAAGTGACGTCTAGCTAAAGTATAATAGTTATATATAACACTAACCTAACCTTCTTTTAATACTCTTTAATTTACTTAAAAGTTACTATACTAAAGTTCTTAACTAGCTTATAGTATAAAAGAAGCGTGTTAAGGCACTTCTTATCTATTATATCAAACTTCTGAGCTATCTTTTTAATATAGATATTATATAAAAGAGACACTATCTTCTTTTCTTTATTTTATATTACTTATACTCTTAAGAACTATTCCATGTCTCTTAAGACTATTAGCTTATACGCCTTATATAGTTTGTCTATAATTATCTAGCCTTCTTTAGCGTGTCTAATATAATATAAGACTTAAATATTATTAATATAAAACACTATAAAGATAGTCTTATACTAGTTTATAAAGATATATAACTCTTTTGCAAGTAGAGATAAGTCTAGCTTACTAAGTGTCTTTATAAAGTCGCTATACTAAAGTGTAAGTAAGTCTTTTAATCTATAAAGCGTTTAGTTAATTTCCACTATTATTTTTAGTCTTTTTTAGCCTTTCAGAGAGAAACACAAGATTAAAGCACTTCTCTTATCTCTTTTTATATTAATAAAGGTATTAATTACGTCAAACTGCTTTACTTTTAAGTCAAATTAAGCCGCTAGTGCTATTATAACTTAAAACAACCTTATTACAAGTGTAACTACATAAGTTAAGAATATCGTAAAGTCGTCTTATATATTACCTTATACTATAATCTAAGACTTATAACACTTAAGCTATCTTATAAAATCTACCTTATAAGTAAACACTTACTTTAAAGGAATCAGTAAGGTAACTGTGTTTTCCTTAGAAATCAGTCTTTAATAGTCTCGAGCTTTTAAGTTTAATATCTTCCTTTTTACGTTAGCCTTAAACTACTTGTTATATAAGTAACTCTTTAGCTTTCTTTAGTTCTTAAGTAGCTTTAAGAGCTTCTTTTAATATTAGTTTTATAAGTTAAAGGCTCTTACTTTTACTTAAATATCTAATATAACGCTTAAAACTACTATGTAAAGTATAATAGTATTATAACTATTAGCTTATATTAGAGTCTTACTATAAAAGGTTATAATAAACTTTTAAAGGCGTAAGTAGCTATCTTATCTTAAAGTTACTACTATTATAAAGAGGTGGGGTAGTGCTATTAAAGTATATAGTAAGTAGGGATATAGAGAACTACTAACTAAACAAGTAGTAAGAGTAGAAGAGAGAAGATGATATATTTGTTACATGCTATCGCGCCTATCTATATAACCTTATAGAATAGTCTAACTATCTTCCGACTTAGAACCTCACTACCTTACTATATATGTCCCCCCCTAACTAAGCAGTTGCCCCTTAACTATATCCCCTGATAT